GTCCCATGCTCAAAAGATGGTATATTAGTCATCCCACCATCATGAGGAATTCCTGATCCATGGAAGTTTCGCAGAGAAACTCCGAGTTACGACTGGAAATGTGCCTCGCAGTCACTCAACCTCAACCCATTACCTCAACCTCACATTCAACCAAACATGACCGAAAAACCAAAAGCAATGTTTGGACATACCAAAAATAAGTCTATAGAACCTATAACCTCACACATTCGTCAAAAGATTCACTCAATTTCACATCCATCTCCACCGGAACCAAGCCCTTCACGCTACCCATGTTGGCCCCATAAGCGAAGGTCCAGAGATGATCTTGGCCTCCAGGCGTACCATGAAGGGTACGGAGAAAGTTCGGGGGTACATCACACTTGGATGTGCATCCCATGTTCGAAGTGGTTTATACATGTTTATATGATTTTATATGCCCAATATAATACATATATACATATATATGTATATAATAACTAAATATATATATATATATATTCATGTATATGTATATATATAATTAAATATATATATATATATAATTATATATATATATAATTAAATATATATATATATAATTAAATATATATATATACATACACACAGGTACAACGGGGGATGGGATTAAGTCCATAATAAAGCTACTGGGATGCAGAAAAATGACCGAGATTGAACATTCCTCTGTATATTGAGCCAGCATGCTGTGAGAATACATAATAATACCATATAATCTAGTTAAAACAATAATAATTCATGTATTATCATGCATAATATGGTTATATCATGTATAAACCATGGTTAATACATATAATACATGTTAAAACAACGTCATAAACCACCCATGACTGGGAATGGTTTATAGCACCTATAAAAATGGTTTTCTGACTGAGGGATGGGAAAAAAAATGTACGAAAACCACATCAAAAAAAACATATAATTCCCAAGCCACTCCTTCCCAATGAATACTTTGATTACTTCCCTTTTAAAGGTCCCAAATATAAAGGACCCTTCTGAAGGATCGGAAAAAAACTGGTGCCTGAATCATCCTGAGTTGGCTAGTTCGGATCCATTGATCGATGACATCCCAAAACGTTGGCTAAAGATGGCTAAAGATCCATGTGTTCATTGGATTAGTTTATATGATTATATATATATAACAAAAAATCACTGGAAACCATCGTGTTCAAGTGGTTGCCCCTTATAGTAACCTTGGAACAAATGCAGAAAAGTTTCAATTTATCATTATCTTAGACTTGGATTTTACGAATGTCTATCTTAACTTCGGAATTGCTAAACATGCATGGCTTAGGCTGGATCCCAATTTCCCGTGATGTCCAATTACCATCTGGTTATGACTAACATAGCCATGGAAAGATCCACCATTTTTAATAGGGAAACCATCTATTTCAATGGGCCATCTATACCATGGCTATGTAACAAATAATGGTATAATCATAATTTACAAAGATTAATGATAATTAATGAATAATGGTATAATCATAATTACCCTCTGGTAATTTGTTACATAGCTATTGAAAATGGCCCAGTCGAAATAGTGGATTTTCCCAGCTATAAAATGGGTGGATCTTCCCATAGTGATGTAAACGTTTACCAGAGGGTAATTAATATTAACCCTAGTTTAGGTACTACATAGTTATGTTATAAGTACCATAAACCATAGTTATTGGAGTTATGTGCACCAACTTAGCTATCGAACGGGGGCCCCACATTGTATAATCATAATTAATTAATATAGTCCAATTAAATCCAAAGCTGTTTTTCTGAAATCCAATCTCTGGCGACCCAGCCATCCCAGCCATCCTGGCTGTGCCTGCTGACAATCCATCCAGATGTGCCTGGTGACCCGCTCCCCTTGGGATCCCTAAAGGAGGAGTTCTGTTTAAGAACTTTTCTTAGTGGATTTGTCATGATTCTGTCTGGCTTTTTATGAACTTTTCGATGATTTTTGGGAGTTATAGATGTTATAGGTGCAAAAGGGGACCAATCATGGCGTGTGGCGCACTGTGATTAAAATTGGGCACCTCCCCATAGATTTTATGGTGAAAACATGTTTATCTTATGTTTATCTCATTTTCATCAGGATAAAATCATGTTCCCAATAAAAGAAGTGCCATCGAAGTTCTCATTTGTGCGTGCGCATCCCCATTTTCAGACACACATCCGTTTTGAGATTGCCTTCATTTCTTCAAGAAGATACGCCACAGGACATTTACGCCATAGCCCCCCTTGTTAGAAGTTGGTGAAAAGGATGATACGAAGAAAAAGAGGTATGCTGATACAAGAATCGTTGGGATATACCATCTGGTTATTTAACATAGCAATGGAAAATCACCATTTTTTTAGGTAAACCATCTATTTCTATGGGCCATCTATACCATGGCTATGCAACAAATAACCAGAGGGTAAGTTGGTAACTCGTTCTTACACAGAACAATGACTTGGCATGATCTTGATTGGTGATCAAACGTGACCATTGGAAATACCCAATTTGATGTGGGTAAAACAATGTCACAACCACCCATGACTGGGCATGGTTTATTTATACCACCTATATATTTATGGTGCTTTTTCTGGGGGATGGTAAACATGACATTGTTTTACCCACATTACTGTAAATGGAGGTTTATACTGTAGTTGTTTTTGTTACCTACAATGTGCCCCCCTCCCAGTTATAAGTTGGTTTATAAGCCCCAGTAACTACAGTTATAAGCACCATAAACCATAGTTATTGGAGTTATAAACCAACTTAGCTATCTTGGGGGCCTCACATTGTATAAATGGAGGATATTCCCCTTGGAGCTCAACGGAAAGCCCAAGGGACGCCGCCACTCGCAGAAAACCAGTCGAACCTCAGGGACGTCCACATCAACTTGATGTGGATTCCAGTTGTCCAGTTACTGTAAGGTAAACCCATCAACGATCGCCGATTGGGGTTCGTTTACTACATTTCAATATATATTTGATGTGATTCCATCTTAGTATTTAGTATATCCTTCGGTAATCAAATGCGGCAATGGAAAATCCACCATTTACTTCGATGATTGTCCCATCAAAACCTCCAGTTGTAGGGGATTTTCCAGCCAGCCACGTTTGATTCCCGGATGGTAGCCTTTTTTAATACCCCCACTATTTGTCCATTTGCCACAATGCGAAATGACTCCCCAAATGTTTGGTTGTGTTATTTGGAGTGATATGGTCAATCCTAGATATCCTACAAAGGAGAACTGGCTGGTAATGATTAGTGTATATCCCCATATACAGTCCATATATAACAATAGATTAAAGTATGGCGACCCCAAAAATGATACGGCTATCCTCTTGGGCCTTTGCTATACTAAAGTACCTAAGACTTTCTCACTTCCCAGTGAAACCGCGGATTTTTGCCCTTCTGAGGTGAGGACAGGTGTGACGCGGCATGGCTCAAAGCGCTAGCAAGTTCAATGAACATTTGGAGCTGTGAAGATGGTGGATCTACCCCCAATTCATGGTCATGTTGGGAGGGAAAATGGTGATTAGCCATCAAATTCGGGTATCCTGGTATACCAAGCTGGAGCTATCCTTCCCAGGCTGATTTTGTCCAAAAGGGGGGTGCCTTGACAACTCTGCGACACCAAAAGGCGGGAACCCGCCAAAAAGGCGGAATGTTTTTCTAATGGAACCCTAGATTTTTCGGAAATGGTCATGTTTCTCCGCTTCAAATCCACATTCCTGCTGCTTTGCAGGGCTGCTCTTGGAGGGTCTTCGCTACTAAACCACGAAAAACTGATGCTAAAAATTGTCTAAGGAAAATAGCTGGGCACCCTTTCTAGAGACCTTCGTCCCGCCACTCCCTATCCTTGCTGGAGCTACAAAAATCCCACTGACAGTGAGGAGCGACAGTCTTCACTGAGATGAGGTTCCTGAAAAAAAGAAGCAATGCGTCTTGATGGGAATATGCAATACTTCCTTTACATATGCCCAGTTAGGCGCATAACATCATCTTGGTCCTTTGCATATAGTTAAGTAATTAGCTTCATGTTCCTTGCGTCCGGGGTGAGGTTCCTTTACATATTCGGATGAACCACCAGGTCGCGGAAATGAATCATTTCACTTACCCCTTACCAAGGTTTATCCATAAAATTCCGACAAGTAACCCTCCAAAAGATAGAGAAACACTGTCCGACAATGTCCTACAAGTAACCCCAAAAATATACATAGAAAGGTATAGAGAAAAGGTAATTGATCACTATTTTAGGAAGATTTGACTTGTCTACCTTTTTGGGGGATTGTAAATTACTGTCCAGTCTTCCCCTCGAAAACCCGCTTCTCAGTTGATTCCGCTTACCTCCGGTGTCGGTCAAGGTGAAACAAAAAATGCCCGCCGTCCCAAAACTAGTCACCTCCAGCTGGTTTTAGATCAATGATCCCGGACACAGGCAAAAAAAGAAGGCATCGCGCTGAAAAACTGCAGTCGAAATCTATTGAGCCCGACATCTGTTGAGGAGATACATCTCTTTTTCCAGAGAAAAGACCACACGAATCCAGAAAAACTTCGAGGTGACCAGCGAGAACGCTTCAGGCCGATTGAATTGCTAGCCACCCAGCTTAGCTGGGCAACATGCACATAGATCGACATACAAATTGAACTGCAGCTCTTCCTCTACACCAAAAGCCCCTAGAGCGAAGAGTATGGGTCAAAATTATGCACCAGAAGATGAATGAAAATTCTGCTGATTTTAGCCCACTCAGTGGGTTACAACGGTTACAACCCCAATTGTGACTGGAGTAAGCCTACTTCTCCTGCTAGCTGCGTCCATTAGCCACTGAGCAAGTGGATCGCACCCCACTTTTTCACCATGTTTGCCCCATTCAGCACTTCATTTTGTTGATCCATATGTTAATCCATAACCAGAATAATCATCCATATTTTCTAATGACCATATATATATAATCAGTTACATAATCATATATAATCATATATATACTGCTGGATTTTAATGACCATATATACACTCTGGTAATGTGTTACAATCGCCCCAGTCATCTCAGTCTCCGAAATCGACATCTTCGATCATCCAGTCCAACTGTTGATTTCCACAGTAGATCTCGCCTTGCGAGGCCGCCACCAGGCGAAAGGGAACCCCCCACATTTCAGGGCGGAGAAATGAGAGAAATGAAGGGTAAGTAAAGAGGTCAACTCTGCAATTTTCCGAAAAATTATGTGCTATCAGACTATCAGTTATTATACTATTGGATTATAGGTTATAATTCATATCATATATATACTATCATATATATATAATATACTATAGTTATTACCTATATATGTAATAATATAACATATCATTCACTTTACCTTTGGATACCGCTTGGAGCAACCAGCGATTTGGCTGTGATTTGAGTTGACACTGGGAGCCCCAGCGAGCTTGTCTGAAATGCTGTAAAGTCTCCAAGAACTGCGTGCCACGCCTTAGACATTGCCATGTCTTTTGTCATGTTTTGTCTGAAATCTTGAGAAAAAACAAAGTTCCATGGGTTTTTGAACCTCATGGTTTGCTTCACCTCAGTTTCCCAAGGATTTCAATGCCATCAGGCGCTGACACTGCACCTCTCGCCATCTTGTCTGGAATATGGTCCTCCAATGCAGGGGGAAGTTCAGCATGGCTTTGCCCGACTTTGTCCTGACCCCCTAATGAAAAGCATAATATCTTGGATCTGACTTTTCAGTCGCTTAGTTCATGTGTACGTATGTATATAATGTACGTATATTATATATATATATTTGGATATTCCCATTTATAGCGAAAGATTACTCTAAGTTAGATTAGTGCCGTGGTCAAAAACTGATTTGTTTGGGTGATGGTCGTCCCACCACTAGGAGTTTCCTGATGGTAAGCCGTAAGCCCTAAGGCATTGATGAGCTCTAGAAACTCTACAGACATATAACTTATATAATCCATGCATGACCCATACATAACTCATAACCCATATATATATATAACCAGTATATATATATATATTGCATATATATATAGTATATATATAACCCATACATAACCTATATAATCCTAGATATAACTGGGATTAAGTGGGATCCTATGCTTATCACAACGAACATTCTCTGCAACTGCACCATCCAGTCGCATCTCCTGAAGATCTTCGAGATCTTCCTCCTGGGTCACGAAATCACTGGATGATGAACCTCTATTCATCCTAACGTGAACTAATATGGTTAATATACACTTACGATGAACATGGGGTGAACTAGCAAGAGGCGGCATCTTTAAATCACAGGACGCCATCGATAAACATGACGCACCACCAGGATGCCATCGTGGCTCGGCCCATTTCACCCAACTAGTTCACCACAAAAAAAAAAACAGCCCAGTTCTCCTAGGTAGGTTTACCAACTTATTATGGTTCAGCTATCATAAATCAGCTACAACTTCCATGAAATACCCCCGTGTTTTTTGGTCTTAAGTTAACACGTCCCGTAGCTATAGCCATGGGCCCCAATAATCTCCAGTTTTCCAACGGTATTTTCGGCTTCTCGTTCCAAACGGTGGCCTGTTCGGACACTTCATCTTCAAAGATGGGCAAACCTCAGGCCGGAGTTGCTGCAAGCTGGAGCCGGCACCAGTGAATTCGGGAGGAATCAAGTAACAAAATGGACAGCAAAATCGATATGAATGGTGGATATCTCAAAAGTGCTTTTTTTTGTATAACGATATATATATATATCATAGCTAAATTGTCTTTTGTATTCCTGTGTAAGTATGACTATGATAATCTGGATTTAAGCTAGGATATGCGTTAATTTCCAGGCTAGATTGCCAGAAGGTATTATGGATAAACAGCACAGTTGGTTGACAAGACATGGGAAGAGACAAATCGTTTGCTTGGGCACTATTGGCAATCCTGAACGGATCCCTGGTTCTCCTCTGTTTTGACTCTCTCTCTCTCTCTCTATCTCTCTCTCTCTCCCTCTCTTGCCGTTTGTCGGGGTAAACATCACACACAACAAAGTAGACGCCTTGGTTTTGAAGGGAATGATACCTGTGATGACCCGCAGAAGTTGTGTTTGGGTTATACCCACCATCTAGGTTATCCACAAACAACCCAAGTGAACATAGTTAGACACCAATTTAGCTAACTCCAATTACCTTTTGATATATCCACCAAAAACCCATGCGCTAAACCCGGTCAAGCAAACTTAACTAAAAACCAACTTAGCTACCTATAGTTAACGAGCTAAGGTATCACCTTGACTGGTTGAATTCACAATAGTTCACCAACCGCAAGAGTTTCGCCATAAACTTGGATAGTAACCCCTACGTTGACCACAGTCTCAGTGACGTCGCTACCTGAGGTCGTTATACTGTAATTTACCAAGAAAATCAAGAAACAAAAGAGATAGATAGAGAGCGATAGAGATAGAGAGAGATAGATGGAGAGAGAGAGAGGAGAGAGGTAGATAGAGAGATAGAGATAGATAGAGATAGAGATAGATAGAGATAGAGATATAGAGACAGAGATAGAGATATAGCTGGAGATAGAGATATAGGTAGAGATAGAGATAGATAGAGATATAGATAGAGATAGAGATATCGATAGAGATAGAGACAGAGATAGTAGATAGTAGATAGTGGATAGTAAATAGTAGATAGAGATAGATTGATAGATTGATTAAGAGAATAGAAAGATAGAAAGATAAATAGATAGATAGATTGATAGATAGATAGATATAAATGTATATATATATATATAGAAAGATAGAAAGAAAGAAAGATAGATAGATAGATAGAGATAGATAGAGATAGATAGAGATAGATAGAGATAGATAGAGATAGATAGAGATAGATAGAGATAGATAGAGATAGATAGAGATAGAAAGAGATAGATAGAGATAGATAGAGATAGATAGAGATAGATAGAGATAGATAGAGATAGAAAGAGATAGATAGAGATAGATAGAGGTATATACATGGATAGACAGACAGACAGACACACAGACAGACAGGTAGGTAGGTAGGTAGGTAGATAGATTAGATAGGTTAGATAGACAGGTGTATCTATGCATTAATTAATATGTATAAACTCCGATTATCCTTGGATCTGGTTATTGGGTGTCCCTCACCAAATTCTTGCTTTTGAAAACACCCCTCACGGAACTCTGGGTCTATGGCCGATGTAGGTCACAGGTGCGAAGTTCGTGTCATAATCCTGGCTGGTTCCCTTGAACTGGCGGTGATTTCCATGGATATACTGTTGGATGATGAATGGGTGAACAATTCTGAACATGGGTCCCTAACGAGGACTTGGAGGATAGGAATGGTTAGTCTGGTTAGTCCTGGTTAACTGGTATGGCTATGTACTGGTTAGTAGCCCTACTTACAACTGGTTGGTGGTTTCTACCTACCCCTCTGAAAAATGATGGAGTTAAAGCCAGTTGGGATGATGAAATTCCCAACTGAGTGGAAAGTCATAAAATTCCATGGTTCCAAACCACCAACCAGCTATGACTTGAGGATCGAGACGTCATCCCAGTGGATCGCCCAACCAGTTGATCTTTCAACGGAACAAGTTGAAGCCTGGAATCTTTCAGGTCCCCAACGTTGAGGCTGTGACAATCTCAAACTACATCGACATCGGACAAAGAGTGGTGTCTGTGCCACCCGGTCGATTGTGGCTTCAAGAGGATCATCGTGGACAAGAATAGGTGTTTCATTGGGTGACAAAAAATCTTGGTGGCATTTGGTGAATCACCCCCAGGAATCCTAAGTGACTTATATCACCCCAGTTATCATCAAGTAGGATAAGAAGGGTTTGTCCAGAGCAATATCTGGGGTTCTAGGTTGTAATCCACTTTGTTGTTTCATTCTATAATATTAATTATGAGCTATCCTGGCTATCCTAAATTGGGGGATAACATGGTACCACGAAATCATCCGGCTGTCATTCTGACCCATACCTACCCCGTTTCGGCCGTTTCGGCCTGCGCTGCTGCGCTCCAATCCTCTGGGGTCATGGGTCGCAACTCCTGGCAGGTGGCGGGGCCACGGGGGTACCCCACTGGATGACTGGGGTCCGTTTTTTGATGAAACCCCCATTGAAAAATAGCTTTGTAGACCCCATGAACTACAAAAATAATAATCAAACATATCCTGATGATACTATAAACAATCTATAAACAATCCACACTTATTGGAGTTATGAACCAACTTGGCCAACTATCTGGCAACACCTTGTAGGATGGCAACAGATTAAACAAAATGGTTGAAAAGCACTGGCATTTGAATTCCCAAGATTGATAGTGTCATACCGAAGAACCTAAGAACATCTCAACCATCACGAACATTTTCTTTACGACTTGAATGGGATTATCTGAAGATCTGCAATCCATGGTAAGTCTTAGATACCAAAAGAACTAATTTTGAGTTGGTTAGGACAATCTTACCATAAATAGCAAAAGATTGGAGTACTAAAGTATCTAACAGTATCTAACCAGGGTTGAATGGCAGGCTGTCGGAAAATCTAAAATATTGGCAACTAGCCTCTGGTTATGTCAACGTAGCTATTGAAAATGGACATAGAAATAGTGGATTTACCCATTGAAAATGGAGATTTTCCATAGTTATGTAAACGTTTACCAGAGGGTAAAAGGAAAAATTTCCAGCAAACCATGTTTAATGACACCAGAGGGTATTTCAATCATAAACCTCTAAGTGATTGGTCTTATAGACATCTGACAGGTAGTGCACAATTTGATTGTTCATGATTTTCTTGCGGCTAGAGTCAAGATGTAGAATGCTTCAAACCACAACTTTGTACATCCAGCTTTAGCCCTGGATACCATATTCGACATATTCGCGCTGGTGTTCCAATCGGGGATCTCTTGGTGCGGTGGAGTGCCAGGATGTGACAGCCGATCAAAGCAGCCAGCTGTGCCACCATCATTCCTTCGATTTCAGCAATCAAGTGGTTGAGCCTTGAAGCCGGAGAGTTAGCTAAGTTGGTGAACATTTCCCTGTTGGTTTTATGGTGTAAATCACACATATGTATATATATATGGGTAAATTGTAAGATTTCACTAACCTGAATTAAAGCCATTTTGGGATGAATTCCCTTGTTTACCATCATTCCCAGTGAGGTCACAGTGAGGTCGTTATAATTTACCCAGATATATGCATATGTTTCTATTTGTGCAAATATATGTATATATCTATATATGTGGATGTCCATGTACATATATATATATGTGAATATCCATATGCATATATAAATGAATATATATATATATACACATATATCATATATTTCATGTGAATATAGTGTCTATAATCCATGGGGATGCATAAATTAGCTTAACATCTGCAGGAAATGGTGTCAAGTCTCTAGTTTGCCACCTCCGCCTGGCGACCAAGTGGCACAGTCCATTTTGCCATCTTCACCATATTAGGCTCCACTCCTCGGAAAAAAGAATTGAAAGGACCAAAGACCAAAGAGGGAACAAGTCAAATTCCACAGATCTTCTGATCAGCATAGTGATCGGTTTCTAATAGGTTTCAAACAATAGCCGAAATTATAGTTGTAGCAACTCCCAAATAGATGCAGAAGCTAGTAAAATTCCATTCTGAAATGATGATCATTTGAATCGTTTCTATCTTTGTGGTGGTTACTATGATTGTGATTCGAAAATGATAAGTGACTATAAAGGTTTACTATTCCAAAATATTGAATAACTATTTCTGGTGTTCATGGGTTGTTCCAGTTATATGGGCAAGTGACTGGTTGTTTATTGTAAGTGTTCATTGTAGTTGTCACTGCTTATCAATACTGGTGAATATTGTGTCTACTATCCTTACAGCAATGAAAACACCGTCAGTCACGAACAACAATTATAGTCATACAGATAGTGATGATGACAGTTATAGTGATGATAATCATGACAAGAATTAATTGTAAAAAAAAATAAACAGACAAAATGGATTATCATTATGAAAGTGATTGAATATTCTCCAGTGTTGCAAGGGATTAAATCATCCTTGATTATGCATCACGGAAATCGATGGAAATCGCACGTGTGTGGCCACCAGTGATGTCCCCTAAACTTGGGGGGTGATCACAGCCACCCTCCGCAAATGGAGTCTTTAATGAGAAATTCAACTACTATATATGCAAATGGTGTATGTTCCATTGCCATGTTTGATTACCGGAGGGTAGTTCATCTTCCATTTTTATAGGTATCCCCACTTTTATGATCTTTATGATAGCTTTGTCCCCGCAACAACCATAAACTGTGAGACTCAATACTACTAGTACCGTAGAAGCGGCAAGATTTATGTTGATTCTGGGGATCGTACCCCTCTAAATCCGCTGTTGGATGATGATTTGTCCCGTTCAAATTGCCATAATTAGGGTACACCCCATTTCCAGATCCAAAAATGATCATTTATACATTGATACGTATACATGTGTATATATGTTTATACACACATACATGACATGACATGACATGACAGGACAGGACAGGACAGGACAGGACAGGAAAGGACAGGACAGGACACGACAGGACACGAACACGAAGACGAACACGAACACGAACATGAACATGAACAACATACACATGCACATGCACGTGCACATGCACACATACACATGCAAACATGCACACATACACACATACACACATACACACATACACATATACACATATACTCATATACTCATACTCATATACGCATATATGCATATACGCATATACGCATAGACACATAGACACAGAGACACATAGACACATAGACATACCCATACGCATACAGATACATATACATATACACATACATATACATAAAATATAATATATATATACATATACCCATCAAAAGAAAAATACCATAGTGTATCCCCACTACTACCATTGTACACTAAATGTACAATTGTACAATGGTGACAATAATGTAATACACCATTGCTATACCAATGTATACTATTACCCTCATTATACCAGATTATCTCCATAGTATATCATGTGGTTGGCAAACTCTAAGTAGCTCCAGCTGGCTCCCCATTTCATGACCGTAAAATGAATACCTAAACACTGGCTAGGAAAATACATACTGCCTGGCTAAGAACGGGATTCCAAGCACATGGATTCTGATAATCCACAATATATTGGATAGATTTGGATAATATAGTACAGTAATATTCATAGAATCATCAACCAAACAAACATTTTGATTATCAAAAGCATTATAAATCCCAAAGTGAAAATGAGATTTCTGGTGATTTTTGCCGGTGATTTGAGGATGATCTCACCAAGCTAGGCGAGCCACGGTCGGCTTTACGCCCGAAGACGGTTTGCAGGCCTTCAGCACCTTCCCTCTGGCAGACCTCGAAGCCATTGGAAGCGAACTAAACCGCGGCTGAAAAAGGCAGAAAACCCAAGAAAGTCCAGAAAATGATGGAACATGTGCCAGAAAAGCCTAGAAAATCCAGAGAAATGTTTGAGTCACCGAAATGAGGTTTTAGGCATCAAAAGAATAGGCTAAGCATCATCATCAAAGGATGCCTTCTGAACTATTCCAAAAGAGGCTTTTTTGAAAACTGCTTGGTGGATGATTCACTGATATCACGGAGCAAATAATGCATATATATCATGCGGACGTAACTTCAACTTCACTTAGAACTGATACAATCAACAAGGATGGGGATTCGGGGATTCTGACCAATGATTCATAATGATCCCGCTGGTGGTTTGAACTTTGAAGCCCTGAGTCGTCTTAATCATTGAGGATCATGATCGCCCTTGGGCGAAGGAGCAAAACAACATATGTGTCAAGATTTGAAGCACAGCAGATTCCCCAGCAGAGCTGGAACTCCCGATTGAAGCTCCCACCCTAACAGTGTATCCTGCGCCAGCTTTTGCACCTCCACAAGTTTTTTGTCGCACAACCGATACAACTTCCCCCTAAGGCCCCATAGAGCAGCATGGGCGAAGGTAGCTCCGTGCCAAGCAGCATAGACTCTGCCACCTATGCACTTCAGCAGAGTGTAGCTGCAGTGAAACCTGGATTGCCAGAGAAGCTGATGCGTCACCGGTCCCACCAGAGAAGTGTCATAGAATCAATGATGGATGCTGTAAGACTAGGCGGCCAAGGTTGCGAAAACATGTACATCTGGTTCTTTTCAGTACTGAAAGTCTGGAAGACTCAGACTCGAAGAGAATCCATCCCTCTAGCGCCAAACATCGAGCGCCAAACATCAGGTGGATCCAGAAGAATAAATCAGGTTGGTGGTTGAGCCACCTACCCCTCTGAAAAATGATGGACTTCGTCAATTGGGATGATTTTTCCATTCCCAACTGTTTCTGGAAAGTCATAAAGTTCCATGGTTCCAAACCACCAACCAGAAGATATATATATATATATATGGTTTATAAACCATTCTAATCCCCATTAACTATAGTTATATCTATATAAAATGAGGGTATCCCAATATACCATTGTAAATCCTCCCCGATTTCTAGTTGGATTTGTAGTTGATGGTGACCCAGTTTTCTTCACGTCTTGTGGATCCCAACTCGGCAGCGTTACGTCACAGCTGGACCGTCGCCTGTAGGTGGAGAAAAAGCTCATGTCTCCCGCCCAAAGCTCAAATAGCACCTTGGACGTTGAGCTCTGACCCAGAGTTAGTTCAGTGGGGTATTCAAAAAAAAAAATACGGTATTTTATGGTCATATATACCATGAATCTGATAGAGGTTACCCTCTGGTTATGTCAAAATAGCTATTGAAAATGGTCATTTATAGTGGATTTACCCGTTAACAATGGTGATTTTCCATAGCTATGTAACAGTCTACCAGAAGGTATATGCTTTCCTATAGCACCGACGTTTGACTAATGGTCCAGATCAGACTGGGTGATCTCTTGCTTGTTCACGGATCCGATGATGGCTATGATGCTAACCTCCAGCCGTATTTTTGCCAGCCTCCAAAATGTTGCTGGTTGGTGGTAAACCTACCCCTCTGAAAAATATTAGTCAGCTGGGATTATTGTTCTCAATACATGGGAAAATAAAATTCATGTTCCAAACCACCAACCAGGTTGCATCTAACTAGGAAATAAGGAGATATAATAGGGATATTATGTGGAAAAAACGCCCCGCCCTTAATGGGATGAATGGGGTATGATCATGGAAAACCAAAAAACACCGTAAGCCAAAGAGAAATTGCATATGAATCCCTATGAATGGATTGATGACCGTCCCTCAATATGTACATATGGTACAACATTTGAGCATGGCACATGTAACACCAACAAGATATGGGTAATGATTGGTACAGAATGAAGATATAAGGGGATATCAACCATATGCAATGTGGGGGCCTAGACCGGATAAGTTCGTTTATAGCTAGCTTGACTGGGATCTATTTCATGGATATAATTGCAGTTGGATGGGTGAGCATAAACCAACAAACATAATTTGGGGGCCGCTTCCTTTGGGGGCCCGTTCCTGTGGGGGCCCCTTCCTGTGAGAGCGACCAAATTGATTCAAACGTAGATGACTTTTTTGGAGTCTATATTCTATGAAATTGATGATCTGATAGATAAGTTAAGGGGAATACTATGTAATATAGGCATATAATTGGTATGTAATGGGAGTGCTGTTCAAAAAGCAATATCCAATATCATCCAACATCGTCCGCTATTTCGAAAGAGCCACTGTTCTTGCTGCTTTATCATGACCGCCAGAAGGTAAAATGCTTCAAGTGGGAACCTAACCACTCTCTTACTCTGTGTTTAGTATCACCCTTCTCAACTCCAGGAGTGAATGGTGCGGATATCTGCTTACCAAAACCTACTTTATAGGTGGAGTGAGAAACTCATCAAAATAGTGGGTGGACCCACTTCTTTGACAGCTGTCCATTGATTTGTATCAGTTTCCATTACCCCGGAGCAAACAAACACGGAGATATGGAAAATACACTAGACATGCAAAGTTTCCCAAGGGGAAACCACGGTCATTTTGCATTTCGTTATTGGTTTGACAGAAAATGGAGACCAAGGATCAACCTGGATGTTCCCATAGCAGGTACCAAACCCACAACTTGGGGTCCACAAAAAGAGCCGAAGAGTTTTACCAGGATGTGAAAAAGATGACATGGTCCCCATACTTTTCAGGGTTCCAACTGTTCAACCTCTTCTTGGGGGGTTGCTACATGTTTTACCCTCTGGTAAACTAACATAACTATGGAAAACCACCATTTTTAATGGGAAAACTCACTATAAATGGCCATTTTCAATAGCTACGTTAAATTACCAGAGTGTATCCTCTGGGAATCAAACATGCCAATGGAAAATCCCGATGTTTTATTGATGATGTTCCCATTGAAGCCTCCGTTTAGTTCAGGGATTTCCCAGCCATGTCTGATTACCCAGCTGGTTCGTTCCCATTATATCCCATTCGTATCCCATTACCCTCTGGTAGACGTTTACATAACTATGGAAAGATCCACCATTTTTCATGGGAAAATTGACTATTTCTATGGCAATGTTCAATAGCTATCTTTGTTTACCAGAGGGTAAATCTCATATCATCCCATTGTTCACCATTGTTAACCCATTCTTCAACCATAAAATCACCATTAAATCACCATTTATAGTGCTTAAATCGTAGGTGCCATCGGAATTCTCAGCATCACCGTCTGAGCCATGGACCAGCAGTAACACCAGCACAGTGCCCAGGATCTGCGCGATGCCGTGGGCGTGGTGTAGAACAATGGGGCAGGCCAGGGGTCATGGAACAAATTATGGTTACCCTTTGGTAAACAAACATAGCTATTGGAAATGGGCATTTATAGTGAATTTTCCTATGAAAAATGGTGCTTTTCCATTGTTATGTTAGTTTACAAGAGGGTAATGTTGGGTAAAACAATGTCATGTTTACCACCCAAAAATGGGAATGCGAAGTAAAAAAACCTCCTCTCTATATATATATATATTTATGGTGATTTTTCTGGGGGATGGTAAACATGACATTGTTTTACCCGAGTTTTACCCACATTAACCATAAGTTTTATCTCCACCAAAATTTACAAAGGGTCCACGGAACCAGCCAGGATGATACCTTCAGCCACCCTCGGAGCTTCTGCAGTTCGGGGCTGCACAAAGGACTTTACAAACATTATACCCTCTGGTAATTTAACATAGCTATTGAAAATCACCATTTTTAATAGGTAAACCATCTATAAATGGGCCATTTTCCATGGCTATGTTAAATAACCAGAGGGTAAACCAACAAAATTCATCAAAATTCTACCTTGCATCACTCCAAGTGGATTTTATAGAAATATATAGAAATCATGTTCCAAGTGGACTATCAAGATGTTTGAACGGGTAAAAAAATAGGTTTGGCACAACTGAGTGGTACAATTTCTGGTGCCCAAAGTCGGTGGCTATTCGGTGCCTCCAGCAACGATTCGGTCGGGAACACGACGAAGATGTAGGCAAGGAACGCAAGGCGGAAAGGCCTTGACGTCAACAAAAGCATAGTGGGCAAGTTTTCCCATGTAGCTAAGCAAAATTATGTTTGCTAAACCTGGTTACAAACCAGTTACTAACCTGAAAAAAACCATGTTATACCATGTAATTATAATTTTAAGCCGTTTATATGTGGGATAAGCCCCTATGGGGACATTTCCAATCACCAGGGTTATACAGAATCCTTGAGATGATATACCCCAGGATTGAACCACTCGCAGTCTTTGAGGCCGGTACCAAACTCAATAGTAATGTTATCGCTATCGTTACCCTCTGGTACTGAACAGTTTGCTATTGAACATGGCCATTTAGAAATAGTTGATTTAATATTTACCTCTTAAAAATGATGGTTTTCCATGTTTTTTTGTAAACGTTTACCAGAGGGTAACCCCCTGGGGTCGACGTTACAGTGGGACCTTTGCCCTTTTTTTTTCTGTGCTGGGGATGACCATCAGCGTGGAAATCCACACGTTAGCCTCTGGTCATCTGTTGCTGTACCGTTTGCTATGGAAAAACGTCATCTTTAATAGGTCAATAATATACTTTCGCGGGCCATACCTACCATAGCCATGTTAGAATAAAATGCAACACTTCTCTCGGATCTTCATCTGTGCAGCAGGTACTGAGTACCAGTGCGTCCCAGGCATCGATTTAGGCAAGTTCCGAAGATACCCTCCAGTAATCTAACCATCTTCAGCAAGAATGTACTCCCATCCCCAGTTTTGTAGATCCAATACATTCCACCAGTTGGTTGGGGTGATACGTAATACATTTTTAATTCTACTTACATTGGCTATGTATCCCCATTTCAGGATGGCTAAACCATATTAAACCACCATTTTTTAAAGGTAAAATTATCCCGGCAAGAGACCCCGGACAGCCCTGGGTGAGTGGGAGGATACTGTAGTATAATGATGTCGTTGTTGTTGTTGTTGTTGCTGTTGTTGATGATAGTGATGAAGATTTTGATGCTGATGATGATGTTGACAATGATGATGTTGAGGATGTTGATGGTGAGGATGACGATGTTGAGGAGAACGAGGATGAGGATGATGAAGTGGAGGATGAGGATGAGGATGGTGATGTTGAGAAGGATGATGATGATGATGATGATGATGATGATGCTGATGATGATGATTGTGATTCTGATAATGATGATGATGATGATGTTGAGGATGATGAGGTTGAGGAATGTTGAGGATGATGATGTTGAGGATGTCGGTGGTGAGGATGACGATGTTGAGGGGGATGAGGATGAGGATGATAATGCGGAAGATGAAGTGGAGGATGAGGATGAGGATGGTGATGTTGAGAAGGATGATGATGATGATGATGGTGATGATGCTGGCGATGATGATGGTGATCATGATGATGATGATGGTGATGAAAATGATGATGATGATGATGATGATGATGATGATGATGAAAAGATGATGATGATGATGATGATATTGATGGTACTGATGATGATGATGATGATGATGATGATGATGATGATGATGATGGTGATGGTGATGGTGATGGTCATGTTGATGTTGATGTTGATGTGGGGAGGAGGATGAAAAGGATGATAAAATTGCGGAAGATCAGGTGGAGGAGGAGGATGTTGCGGAAGATGAAGTGGAGGAGGATGAAGTTGAGGATGATGATGATGATGATGATGATAATGATGATGTTGATTTGAAGGGGGAAGAAGAAGAAGAAGATGATGATGATGATGATGATGATGTTGATTTGAAGGGGGAGGAAGATGATGTTGTTGAGAATGATGATGTGGAGAATGATGATTTTGAGGAGGAGGAGGAGGAGGAGGAGGACGGGGAGGAAGAAGAAGAAGAAGATGATGATGATGATGATGATGATGTGGATGATGATGTTGAGGAGGGCCGGTCCCAAGACCTAGGACCACACTTTGTGCAAGCCTGTGGAGTCGAAACGCATGTCAACATTTCACAAGAGACATCAGAAGAGCTACTTTATACGGAAATTTAGAGGAAAAATGCCGCGGCCCAGATTGAGCCCAGAACGCGGACACACATTTTGTGCGAGCCTGCGCAGCCGAAATGCACTTCAACATTTCACAAGAGACATCCGAAGAGCCACGTTATACGGAAATTTACAGGAAAAATGCCGCGGCCCAGATTGAGCCCAGAACGCGGACACACACTTCGTGCGAGCCTGCACAGTCGAAATGCACTTTAACATTTCACAAGAGCCACTTTATACGGAAATTTACAGGAAAAGCGAGACCAGAGTGAGCACCCTGATCAAGCACCAGCCTTTACTCCTACCGTAAGAACCCCTCAGTGTGGACATACTGTTTGGCAGGGCACAGTGACAGCCAGCGATCATATCTGTAGGCCTGCGGAGGTCGAATGCCACGTGGGGTTAGGGAGTTCTCGTGTCAAAAAAAACATGGGAATTATCATCAAACTCCAAGCATCAACAAATAGCTGGTTGGTGGTTGATCTACCCCTCTGAAAAATATGAGCTCGTCAGTTGGGATGATTATTCCATTCCCAACTGAATGGAAAGGCATAAAATTCCATGGTTCCAACCACTAACCAGAATAGGGATTTTTAGTGGGATACCAATGGGATAGACTGGGATATAACTAACCAACTATTGGATCATCAAACATGCTTGGAAAATCCCCGAACTCATAGAGGTTTAGTTCGCTGGGAAAATCATCGATTCAAATGGTGGCTTTCCCAGCAAACCATGGAGCTGATTACCAGAGGAAATTTGGTATTGATCCAATTGATCCATACCCACATAGCCTTCCGGATGTTTTCGCCTTCTATGAGATCTCTTGGGTTTGTCTGAAGGTAGGGCGCCCCAAATGTTGATGTTTGAACCATAATTTGCCCATACCAAATGGCAGCTTTGTCGCATCCCCGGGGTCAGACAGACCCCAAGAATCATATCCATGGTTGGTCATGTGTGTGTGTGTCTATATATACAATTATATATATATATATATATGTTTTATCCATTGTATAACCATTGTAGCATATATTTAAAGCTAGATACCAATTAAATGCCATTATATCCCATCTTATCTGAGTAAGTCAGAATTACATCTATATTTGTACATACATATCCATAACACCCCCTATATACCCTCCGATAATGAAACATGGTTTGCTGGGAATTCCCCCTTCATAGATGATATCAGATGGCCATTATCCCAGTATTGTTGGTCTAATCCATTCAAAACCCCATCTAAAACCACTATATAAAATTCCCTTCTATATACCCTCCAGTAAATGAACATAGACCCTGCCCTATTTGGGCCTTGGAAGATTTGCCATTGCTGCACAAATGATATTTCTCATAGGGGCCCGGAAAGAAACACCAAAACATGGAAACTATTTGGGCCGATTTGAACCAGGCATCTTCCCACGGGCCAATGTCGAGGCCTTCGGGGTGTTGCAGCTGACGGAGATTGCACAGGACACCAGACCCGCCCCACAGGCGGTGGAGATCTGCACGGGTTCCACGGAAGTGCGGCAGAACTATGGCCCGCCAGTGCCAGTTTTCAATGGCTATAAGCCGGCGTATTACCCTCTGGTAAACTAACATAGCTATGGAAAATCAGCATCTTTAATAGGTAAATCAACTATAAATGGGCCATGTTCAATAGCTTTGTTAAATTACCAGAGGGTATCCCATAAACAGGGTGACTTACTGACTTATAATTGGTATTTCGGACCATACAGTATGAAGTAGCTATAAGATAGGGGATATCATAAAAATATAGTGCTATAGTTTGCTATAATAGGATACATGGTTCGTAACCAAACAGGGGATCTGATAGAAACATCATGCGGTTTCTATAGATACCCTCTGAGAATCAAACATGGCAATGGAATAACCCTCAATTATAGCTTATGCTCCCATTGAGACACCATTTATTTGGAAGATGTTCAATTCCCATTGATTACCATTGGGGCACATATAATGGCTATAGAATGACGGATATGATAGAAAAATGCTGGGGGAATTATGCGTATATATATATATATATAGAGAGAGTTTGATATATATATATATACAGTTATACATTTATATATATATATCATTATTATTATTATTAGTATTATTATTATATCAAATTATATATGATTTACTCAGAATATATGGGATATAATGTGTCTATAATGGTGATATAATTTGATATCCGACGATCATTTGGATGCGCATCCCGAATGTAAATATGGATTATGTACGGTTAATATTCCCCAAGAATGGTTGATGCATAGGGGTAATGCCCCAAAAAAGGCTATGTGAAAATAACCTATTAATATGTGATGAATCTAAGCCATGAATTTCACTGGGGTAAAATATGGTTCAAACACCCCACTTCCCGGTAGGCCCAAGGAGCGGCTGTGTCTAAAACGGGGATTTTTTACCCAGGGAATTGGGGATGTTCTTCGGTGTATATAACCACTAAAACAAAACGACCTTCGGGCTATACCATGGTATACCCCGTTTTCAGACACACTCACATATAAACATACATAAACATAAACATATAGATACCATGCACACATACATACATACATACATACATACATAAACATATATATATACATATGTATACATAGGGCATATGTGTATCTGTATATGTCCATACGTTAAGTTCGTCAAGTTCTTGACCGGTCCCAAAAAGTTAGGGCTAACGGGGACTTGGAGGATCCCAGGAACGGTGAAGATGGTTGGTTGGTTTGGTTAGTCCTGGTGAAAAGTGGTATGGTTACTGGTTAGGAACCATACTTATAACTGGTTGGTGGTATATATATATATATCATATGTATATATATATATACATTATTGCGAAAAGCGGACTCACTGTTTTGTGCCACTTCGAATGGTCCACTGGGGCTGCGGAGTACACATGCATGCACTGTGGTGACATGTTTTACCACAAGTCATACAGGCAGCCAAACCTAGCATATGGTGCGTATTTTGCTTGCACCCTCCTTAAAATATGGCGCCTTACAGTGCAACTTCATTTTGAATTATTTTCTGTACGTTCTGCATTGCGTATTGGGCTCGGTTACGCATCTTTCGGTCCTAAGACCACATTGAAACACTTTGTACACGGTTTGAATTTCTTCACATCTGTGCTATTACTCAACGTAGGACATTGTTCCGTTGAGTGCACTCTTTCTCCATACTTTGTGAGGTAGTACACCTCGTACTTGGCCTTCTTCTTGCTTTTGCATGGCCACAGTACTATGTCTCTGTACAGACAGCAAAGTGCCGTCCCTCCTACGCAAACACTCACTAGGTTGAAAGTCAAGCTGATGAGAAACAACAGCATTAACGTTTCAATCCCGGTGTTTCCCGGCATGATGACTTTGCCGCCCCACAACACAGGTGTGTCCCCCAAGGTTTCCATTTCGTTTCACCCCGGAAGCGTGTTGTCGAACGCTAAGCTTTGAACCGGTTTGCGGTTTCCATCGTTTGTTTTCGTTTTCATTCACAGAACCTATTGTTCTCATGTTTGTTTTCGACACGTGTTTGTCCAGTCCATCCTCAGTCAGGTCCACGAGTCCTATCAACTCGCATCCGTTTCGTACCAGTTCACCTGTAGCGAGGTGTTTTGTGAGGATGTCTGCGGGATTCTTTGTTCCGTCGATTTTACCTATGATCACTTGTTTTGTTTTCACCAACTCTTGTATGTAAAGGTGTCCTACTGCTATGTGTCTCATCTTTCCTACACCTATTTTCTTTCCAGCTTGTATGGCTGCTGACGAGTCACACCAAATCCTCGGTGTGTCCAGTTTCATTCCAAAATCCTTTTCAGCTAAGTTTCGCACAAATACTGCAGTCTGAGCACAGTGCGTCAGGGACCTTATTTCAGCTTCCCCTGAGCTTGTCGCCGGCGTTCCTGGTTGTGTGTGTGATGACGATTCGACGAGTGTTCCTCCTACGAAAATCGCTTCACCACTTGTGGAACGTCTGCTTTCTTGGTCTCCTGCCCAGTCACTGTCACAGTAGCAGTGCATCGGGATTCCTTCTCGGATGTCAATCCCCTCTGTCAACTTTGTCACATGCACATAGTTCGTGGTTCCTCGAAGATACCTTCCCAGGACCTTCAGGTTGGCCATGTCGCATTCCCTTGGTTCCCGAATGCGTTTTGCCAATTCCTTGGTACTAAACTTTATGTCTGGTCTGTCCTGAGATAAGTAAATTGCGCTTCCCACACAACTGGCATATATCGCTTTCTGTTTCTCGTCCAACAATTTGTCCTGTGTCAGGTCAAGTTTCTTTCCTGGCACTGGTCCAGGCTTGGCATTTTCCAAACCCAGTTGTTTCAGTATCACCTCTACATGTTTCGCGTTTGGTTTCGTGATCACGGCTTCTTCGACATTGATCTTGGTCCTTCCAAGAAATTCTGAAGTTGTTTTACTTCCTACAAACGGGTATTCCATCTCTCCCATTTTCAGCTTGCAACCGCTCTTTGGAAATTGAATCATCAGCAAATCATTCAAAACTTTCTCGGGTCCACAAATGTCGAAATCATCTATGTGATGAATCAGCACTGTTCCTGTTTTCTCACATTTGTACACACATCCATCGATTGCTCCTCGCTGAAACTCATATTGTTCTGGTGGTAACTCTTTAGTGATTATTTCTTCTAATCTGTCTCTGTACTGTGCTGCTGCTGACTGACGTCCGTACAAGTTGCCATCCACTTGCCACAGGATATGTTCCTTAGGAACGTCCTTGAGTTCTTCTTGAACTTCCTTGGGCTGCAACAAGTACCAATCGTCGTAGTCTTCCAGCCATTCCTTAGGTGGTTTCATCATCACAGGTTGTCCTGTCTTGTCACCTTGGTCATTGGCAATCAGAAACGCTGATGTGAGATCTGCTTTCACTCGTGGTAGTCCTGTTGCCATACTGTAGACTTCTAACAGTTTTCTGGAACATCCATGTGGTGTCGGACAAAAATTGCTTGGTGCTTCCGACGTGTTTCTGTCACTATCTTGTCCTTTTCGTTTAAAGTCCTGACATGTCAACCTTGACTTTGCAATTCCTTCACTAACTTTGTCTACCCATTTATGACCAAACACTGTTATTTCCTTTGGAATCAATCTTCCATCTCTCGGTGTAAATGCTCCAAAGTCCTCGTTCAGCTTCTTGATCTCCGTCTTTCGAGCTTTCTTTTGTTCTTCTTCTGCTGCTCCAATTTGGTCCAGGTAGTCCATGATGTTTGCCACCATTTCACTCTGGAAGTACTCCTTTCTCTCATCTAGCCACTTCTGAAACCATACATGGTCCTTGTTTACTGGCATATGGTATTTCTTCCTCATTTCTTCCGCATCTGGAACTTCACCGTTACTGACTCCAGAAACCATGTCCTGAGACGCTGTGCCCGCTGCACTCATGTTGTCATCTGTTGGTGTGTCTATGCGGTACAGTTCAGGTTGTCCTGGATTCATTCCGGTGTCGCCCGGTACGGCACTAGAGGTTGTACCCTCTGCCAGTCGTGGCTTCTTGGAATCCTTTTCTTCAATCTCGATTCTCTCTCCTTCATCGTCCACCTGCATCTCTGGTGCTTTGTCTTCCTTCTTTGTGCTCTTCTGTGCTTTCCCTCCTTTCGGTGTACTTGGAGCTGATCTTGGTGCATTCCGCAATGGTGGTACAATAGGTTGTGGTATGTGAACCACCTTGGCTTTCGCCATTGCTTCTGGTCTGTCATCAAAGATCGGCTCGTTGTCTTGTTTCGATTTGTCCTCGAAATCATAAGTTTCCTGTCCTTCGATTTCTGGTGCCACAATAGCCTTCACCTCCGATGAGATTGCGTCCGGCTTTGTTTTCTCGATTCCCAACACTGTATTCCATGGGACTCCTCTCGCAACTTCCATCACAGCATCTTGGAACTGTGATCCAACTGGCAATCTTCGAACTGTTCTGAAACTAATAGCTCCGGCACTTGTCAACATCATGTGCTCATCTGAATTTTCTTTCTTTCCTGCATAGATTCCTTTTGTCCATCGAGGTGCAGATTTGTCTTTCACCTTTGGAAATTTTCCCATCACTGTCTCTCCAAATTGTATCAACTCACCCACGTAGTCTCTGCCCTTTATCACACGAAACGCTGTGGTCTTGCTCTTGTTGACATGAAACCTTGCCAAAGTCCATGCGCTGTGACGCACGATCCATGGGAACACGTAGTGCTCGGTTCCAATTTTCGTTGCATAGCTTTCAGACAACTCACACAGCCATGTGCGAATCTTTCCAGCTATCAGTCCATTCACCATTTCTCCATCTGCAAGAGACTGTGAGCTATACCGTGGTGATTTCCGAATCTCTACTCTTTCTGGCATGAGATCCCTCACTCTGTCAAACAACTTGTTCATGGAATTTTCCTGATCTATTTGTATTGTCACTTTGTTCCATCCCAGATCTCTGATCCAAGCTGCCAACGCATCCCTTGAGTAGTACCCTCCTCCTTTTGATGGGACCACCATGGCGAAGGGATACTGGCTGTCCTTGCAAATTGCCGTCAGCACTGTGATCAGTCCTTTCTGCTTCTTTCCTTCACTTCTATTCACCATCTCACCATCCACACTGAAGAACATGTAGTCGGAGTAGATGATGTGTTCTTTCTTGTCTTCCTTACTTCTTCTGTGAGGTGCACCTCGTCCTTGTCCTTTGATGCAAGTTTCACACCAAGGTTCGAAATTTGCATGATGAAGTCTGTGCTCCTCACGCTGTTGTGCACTCGGTGCCTTTGGTACATCTACCTCCTGTGCTTGTTCTTTCACTTCTTCTTCTTCTTCTTCATGAAGCTGTCTTTGCTCTCGAAACACTTCACGTTCGGCTTGATCTTGATCAATTGGATCTGGTTGTACTCGATCTTCTACGTACACCCAATCCAAAAAGAACTCATCCATGTCTTGGTCTGGGTCACGGACTCCTTCAACTTTCTTTGCTTCTTCAATCTCTGCATCCTTCTTTTCAGGAATTTCAGTCTCTGGTTTCAATCTAAACCACGATTCTCCCAGCCATTCTCTGCCCATGTTCTTGGCAGATGTCTGTTTTCTTGTCCACAAACTCTGGTCTTCCACATGCGATCCATCTTCGGAGAAATAGATCTTGGTAAGTCGACCAGGTAGTAGTCGGTTGATTGGAACAGGAAGATCAGCCATTCGCTCTGGGCTGAATAGTTGGAATCGTGCTGTGTTGTGCACACGAACCACGAATTCTCCTTCCTCATTGGTCTCCATTCTCCAGGTATCAGGTTCCTTTTCTTCTTCAAACCTGACTCCTTTGACTGGTGCTATTCTTTGTGTTCTCAAATTTCCGTTTCCTGAACTTGACGAACTTTGTTGATCATGTTTCACTTTCAAATACCACCTCTTTCCATGCAATTCCAATGGAATCATTTCATTCTGGTTCGTAACCAAATGACAATTGTCACTCCCTCCTTCCCTCAGCGAGCTAAGCACATCAGCACTTTTAACTGGGATGCGCAAAGGTCTTCTTTCGCTGCTTCTTTCTGTCTTGTGTTTATTCACAGGACAGTTCTGATGCTGCAGCCAGTTTTGCTGCAGCATTTCCAGCAGGTGCATTGGCTTTGCCAGCACCTTATTCCCCCAGAGCTCTGGAAGAATTTATCCCAAGACTTGGAGGTGTCCGGGGATGGTGGAGGGCCATTTTGAACCGAAGTCTGAGTACATTCGGTCATGACGATCCGAGGGACATGTCCCACTACACGTCACTCCCTCCTTCCCTCAGCGAGCTAAGCACATCAGCACTTTTAACTGGGATGCGCAAAGGTCTTCTTTCGCTGCTTCTTTCTGTCTTGTGTTTATTCACAGGACAGTTCTGATGCTGCAGCCAGTTTTGCTGCAGCATTTCCAGCAGGTGCATTGGCTTTGCCAGCACCTTATTCCCCCACTTTAGATGCTGGCGTGACAATGCCCTTCATTCCTTACCAGGGGTCTTCCCACCTAGTTTGGCCTCTCTTTCTTTTGTGCATGGACTCCGTAGGGCGATCACCCTTGGCCTCTTTGGACGATTTCGCCAGTTTAATTTCATCGTCCAAATCTGCCGCCTTGGCCATCAACTTGTCCATGACTTCGAACTTCAAATCTTCAAATTCAACAATGATCCTCTTTGAGCTGTCGAAGCCCATGAACTCACTGTTGGTCAGGCTATCAGCTTCGGAATTCTGACCTCTAGGTATCCACTTCAAATCCATTTCTAGGCCCAGCCGCTTGAGCTGAACTGCCAGTTCCATGACCACAATGGAAAGCGGATACTTGCACGACATGAAATGGTTCAGCACATAGGTGTTGCCCAAGTTGTCCGTACTAGCCGATAAGGACATCACCGTTCTGCTCATGTCGCACTCCCATCCCTTCCCGAACAACATGATGGCTGTCAGCACTGCCACCAACTCGAGACTCGCAATGTTTCTGAACGGTTCTCCCTTCAGATAGGCCCATGGAGCATTGCGTCTGTTTAGAACGATGGAAAGCCACCGAGCATCCTCAGTCCGCCCTGAAGCCGGAATTTCCCAGCCACCGATCACAATCAAGTCTGCTTCTGCTTTAGCATCCACCCGGAACTTTTCTGCCGGACGGCTTTCCAGACGTCTAGGTCTGGTCATGGCTTCTTTGACCACTTCGCCTTGGATAAAATCCAAGAGAACTGCCACTGCATCTGGAAACTTGGCAAAGGTCCCTGGTGAAAGGACCGCTGCCCACGCAAATATGGGCCCCAAGAATGGCCTGACATGCTGTAGAGCCCCTGCCACAAAACTGAATCGGCCCAATGCTGATTTAAGATCGCGCCCAGTCACTCCGCCTGAAGCTCGATGTCTTTCAAGCCATTCCACAATCCATTTGACCTTCTTTTCCGAAATGCCTTTAGTGAACTTCTGCACATCGATTTGATAGCCTATCCAATGCACTACCAGACCCCCACGAACTTTCTTCCATGCAATGGGCACCTCGAAAAGTTCCAAGCAAAACAACCAAAACAACATCCTTCTCCAAAAGGAGGGGGCCAATGCTGTGAGCCATCCATCGTCGGCGAATAATAGGTGCAGCAGGCCGAGATCAAAACCTCCCAACCTGTGCACCAACCTCACCAAACATGCCGCAAGCCTCTGCCAATGGTAGGCAGCTGAAGCCACGCCAAACGTGCCTCTGGTGTGTAGAAACACGGTACCCTGTTTGCCCGCAGGCAATCTAAAACCTTGCAGGCCCCAGTCTTGCTCGTCTACTGGTAAAAGTTTATGAGCCCTGGAAATGTCGTAGAGGAGCGAGCACCGCATAGCCCCTTGAGCCTCCTCGACCTCCTTCTCCACCTGCAAAAGCACACCCCCAGCGTCGTCCACCATAGGGAAGCGCATCCTATCCCTTACTTTAATCCTATGATTAATGTCGACCGAGTAGGAACCATCATGCACGATGCGTACCACGCTTGAACCAAGCTCCTTAGGCACTGCACCCAAGGCTGCCACCGCTAACCTGCCCTTGTACTTTTCCTCTGCTTCCTCTGTTCTCATAGCTATGATGGAACCCGCTTCCACCTCTTCCATCACCTGTCGCTCAATGTCCTCCGCATTTTCTTCCGCAGACCGGTAATTGCAAGCCAGAGTGTCCCTGAACTCTTCGTCTGTAAAGTCCAAATTCCACTTGACTTTTTCCTCAAAGACCGCTGGGACACGAGGCATGGTCTGATCCACGCCCAAGCGAACTCCTGAGCTAGCTGCCGCTTCCAGCCACTCGAAGTCCTCGTCCTCCACTACCTCAAGAGCCGCCGCCAATCTCCTGAAGTTCACTTCCGAGCACCTGTCTCCAGACCTTCTCCTGGGAGACTTACCCAAGAGTTCCAGCTTCCTGTCCAGAGACTCTCTGGCCTCTTGAATGACTTCCGAGAAGGGAGACGTCAGACCCTTCCCCCCTGCCAGCGACCAAAACACTTCTTTGACCGCATCGCCCTTCTTGTTGCAAATGCTAAGCACCCATTTCAGAAACTCCCCCTTGCAACAAGATGCCAACCCCAGTGCTGATTCACTGGAGAGCTGCCTCCTTTGTTTCCCCGGCCACCTCCCCGGCGAACACAGTCCTCCCCCGTCGTGGATGGACCTCTCCTTCCCTTTGTACCAACACCGAATTGGCACACCGTGTCCTGCCCTGGCTGGACTCTCGATGGGAACACTTTCCGCTTCCCCCGAGCTGTCCTCCCTTGACCTTACGTCAGAAGACTTGTCAAGAGGGTTCTCTCCTAGCTTCCTCTTCTTATCCACGCCGTTTTCATCTGGATCCGTTCCAGATGACCGTTGGTTTCTTCTACCTGGTTCGAACGGAACCACTCCACTCGATTGGCCTTTCACCTCTGGGCAACCACCCCCTCCAACGGACCCGGAGGTGGAAGGACCGCTGAACTCGGCCATAATAGCTGCAGCTATAGCCTCGTCCAGCTTGGGTGGATAGGCATCCGTACCTGTGGTCCGAAAATTGACATCATTGGACTCTTTGACCAATGATGTAGAAATATGGCAAACGCAGCTTTTGGTCAGTGGCCCAGCGTAGAAACCCTGGGAGTCAAATTCGGGCCATCTGTTTGAGCCCCAAACGAGCACGTGCTTGGAGTTACAAATGAGCCGTGTTGGTTTTCTCCAGGGTGCCCCCCAGCAGCATTGATTGATGGCCACTGTCCCCAGAGAATTTTCAACGCTGTCAACCAGATCTCTTATCTGTTGAATTTGCCATATACTGGCCGGAATAATCCTAGCCCGATCCTCCTCTCGGATCACCACCCCCAAATCTTCTGGATGCTCACCGAAAATGAAAACAACCATCCCATCAAAAGAAAAGGGGTGTTTTGACACGGCTTCCCAAACCCTAATGGAAAACCGCACCAATGCATTGCCCAGCTCGAGATCCTTTTCGAATCTCTTCACCCATGGGAACCCCCACAAATGATCCTTGGTCCTCAAAGTTGGAGGTCCTCGCATATTGGCGCACCTGACGCGGCTCCAGGTGCTGCATGGGGGTGTACAAATAATGACATGAAACTCTCCAGCAGCGATACGTGAAACTAAAGAATCTTGCAACCCTTCCTGTGTAAGATCGAAATGATCACCTCGTTTGAGGTCCACTTCCAGTGCATCCACAGCCCAGCCCTTTTTAGCCGCCATGGATTTCAAGTATGAGACAACTGATGTCTTACGTTCTGCCCCTGCAAACAGGTACAGGACTTTCAGCGTGAAACTTCGTAGTGCTTCACCCGTCTTGGCGTTCTCGACAGAAGGCTTCTCTCCTGTCCCTGACTCTAATTGTCCTGATTCCACAGGTGACATACTTTCACCTGCTGTCTGCCTCCCTACTGTCTCCCCCGACTGTTGCTCAGCCGAGGGTGGTTCCCTCTTTGCATCTGATTCATCCAGAGGGAGGGACACCTCTGGATCTCTGTACCTTCACTTGGACTCGGCTTTGGCCCCAGCTCCTGCTGTGTCCTTGCCGGGGCCCTTGCATGAATGGGCTGGGTGATTACCAAAACAAATCTGGCAACAGTGCACCCTGCCGCAGTTGTAGCGACAACGTTGATCTTTGTTGTTCCAAGCGAAGCAGATGTCCCTTCCATCCGGCGTACGGCTGTGAAAGGATTTGCCGCCGCCTTTCTTTCCTTTTCCTTCGCCCTTCTTTCCCTTACCCTTGGATCTGTTTCCCAAGAGTCCCTTCCTTTCTCCGGAGAGTCTCCCCTCCTCGGAGATCTTGACTTCAGCCTGTATTCCCTTACCGCTGAAGCCCCCCCATAGAGGTGGGCGTAAGGAAATACCTTTCCTTAGTTGTGGTGTCTTTCATTCCTTCTTCCAATGCTGTGATCATGGGGGTACCTTCGTTCATCGCCTTCGTGGCAAACTTGCGAATCTGGTACTCGTAGGAAAGCACCAGCTCGAAGGAGGGCCGTGAGATCACCTCGCCCTTCTCGTCTTTTGCCGACAGGCCATGAACATGTTCCCCCAACAAATAGTCCGCCAGCTTCATAAAGATGTTGGGGTCCAGACCACGCAGCACAGCCCGGTTCGGGAACTTCAGCTGGGTCATCACATAGGTGTGCCCCACCAACTTCAAACGTTGCCTCAACTCCTCAGGCGTCTTGGGTGGTTTGGTCTCCCCGTGACCCTTCTTCACTCGCACATTGCCAGAACGGTCGATGACCGCTGCCAGCGGCTCTGCATCGGCATCGTCCTTGGACAGGAACTGCACCAAGGCCATATTCTTCCACTCGCCAGCCTCCACCTGGTCGAAGACGTGCTCCAAAGTTGCTGTGGCCGGCGCCACCTTGTCCTCCATTTTGTAATACATCTGTTCAAAGCGCACCTTCAAATCTTGCGCTTCCACTTTGTTCACAGGTGCAGGCAATGCCGCTACTGTGGCTTCCGCCTCTGCCTTGTGCCGCACCTGCATCCTGGTTGTGCATGCCTGCCAACTGTCCACCAGGCTTGCAATGGACACCACATCACGACCTCTTACCAATTGGCAGTGGTCCACCGCGAAGGCCCTCACATCGCCGGCTGCCTCTGCCAACGCTGCAAACTTGCTGATGCTGGGCACACCCAAGTTGCTCAACACTCCTTGCGTCCTTGCTGGAACCCCTTTCCGTTCCAACAACCCCTGAAAGTCAGGGTCCAACTTCGCCACGGCATCTCGAAGACCTTCTTGAGTGTCAAGATCTGGTGGAGCGTCGGCCATTGCAAGTCACCGGCCGATATACCACCTAAGCTTACAGGCTCTGGACCTTGGAATCGCTGCGGCGACCTGAGCTGACATGGTCAAACATGACGACATGTAGTGCATGTGGCAATTCACACAAACTGAAACCATCACAGTGACAACGACATCCCTACACACAAACACTCACCAGTCAACTTCTAAGAAAAGCCAAAGAAAATCCCCCAATGCAAGTCCTTCACGCTTGAGAAACGTGACGGTTTCTTCCCATGAGAAAATGCCCTCGCACCCATGAGTCTCTTCTCATTGCCTGTTGATCACCTGAAACTTTACCTCAATTCAACCGGCCCCAGCTACTGAAATCTCCTTTATCGCCTCCGTCCGCAGACTGGTTGCCCACGGCCTCTATCAATCCTCTGACTCGTCCACTGATGTGCTTGAATCAGAGGAGCTGGCACCTTCATCGGAAGCTTCGCTATCCGACTCTTCTGCAGCCATGCCTCGTGGAAAGCACACTCGGCATGACTGGTGAAACGTATCGGATCCCGGTGGATCATTTCCCACCACCTCATACTTCTTGTAGTGAACCCCAGGAACTCGATGACACTCTCCCACGCGATGAAGCGTCTTTCGATTTCCTCGTCCCCAAATACTGAGGACGAAGACCCCTCTGGGGACAATTTCACCTGCCTCACACCGATCACCCAGTTCTTCGCCACTGGAAGGACAGTCGGGTGGCACCTCTGTGTCGTCTTGAACTGCTGTCTCCTCTTCTGTCATATGCCCGACCAAGTTCCAGTCTCGTTCAAAAGATTCCTCTTCACACACCTGTTCTGGTTCTCCCAGTCTCAGGATTTTCCGGGGACGACCCTTCCCGAAAACTGCCAGCTTCTCCATCTGGATTTCAATGACGCCGCCTGGACAGCCAATCTGCTCTATCCTGGCTGCAATGGCACTCATGATCAGCGCCTCATCAAAGGGGTCCTGCCCCCCAATGCTCCGCCTGACGAAGTCAGCCACCTTTGCTTGCGCCCTGATTGTGTTGGCGCGCCATGTTCTTTCGTAGCCCTGGTCGATTGTTGGACCCCAGCGGCCCATCTGTTTGCGAATCTCCGCTGGTATTCCAGCTGCCTCAGACCAGGTACGCATAGTAGCCCTTTCACTGTGCTCTGACCAAACAGTCCCCACTCCGTGTTCGAAGAGAGGCACTGTGGCGCCTTCAAACCCAATCTTCATGTCCTTGAACAGCGCCTGTGAGCAGCGCGAAGCCAAAGAGTAACTTGCCATCCGTTTCAGAAAACCGCTGAGGTCCCGATTGGGAGCCGGTAGCATGAAGTCTCTGTCCATGACTCCACACTCTTGGCTCAGCTTCAACCACAGCTCGAAACCCGTGGAAATCCACGTCTCATCATGGACCCAGCATTCTTTGCTGATCCAAAATCCTGAGAAGACTCACTTTCTTCCCAGGCCCCGTGGTCTTTGTTCTGGTTAGCACAGCGGTGATGCCATGCGCTTGCCACTCAAGGGATTTATGATCCATCCCCTGAGTATCAGAAAATCTCATTCCACTCCATAGCTTGATCAGCCTATACCAGGCATAGCACCTGACATAGGACTCCAAACCGTAGTCCAGCACCATGCCTTCCAGGCATATCACCACCTTCAGTGGTAGGTGCCACGCCTTCTTGGCGAACCGTGGAGCTTCCTCTGACAGCTGCAAGTTGATCTCTTCTAACACATTCTTCACTGCCGGAGATCTTCCCAATTGTTCCTCCAACGGGAACTCCCCAGCATTTTCCATAAACAACAACGTCTTGAAAATAGACCCTGGGACCGTCCGTCCACAAGGCTCGTTTGCACGACTCTCTAAGTACAATGCAAACTCTTCTGGATGTTCTGGCCAGAACTTGTCGAAGGTGACGGCCATCCAGTCTCTGACTTTCTTCCAAGTCCTCACATGCTTCCGCAGTGTGGTCGACCGACGGCCCTTGCCGAATCGCCGGGTCATATCCACTCCTTCCATCACCTGACATCTAAGCATGACAGGTGCCTTGCCCTGATCCAGGAACACCTTCAATTCCCGGATCCATCGATTCCTCTCGTTCCTCTCCAGGCTGTCCCGCAACGCTTGATTCGGTCCAGCCATCTCCAATTTCTTCTGGAGTCTCGTGGGCCATCGAACCACTTTGGCCGTCCCATGACGTGGTACGATCTGCAAGAGTCTGGTCTCCGCTCTGGAACGATGCTCGTTCAACTTGTCTTGCAACTGTTTTGCCAGGTGAGCTTGCATCAGCTCTCCTTCTGGTGCCCTGCCTTCAGCCTTCCACGCTATACGAGCTGCAGGCACCGTGAGTTCCACCAAGTCTTTTAGCAACCTGATGGCGAACCCCTTCTTAGCTGTTTCCTCAGCCTGGCCAACCACATCGTCCAGCTCGTCATCGGTCGCATCGGCCAACGTAGCCAAGCGCTGAACCGTCCAACCAAGTCCTTCCAAGACTTGGGCCAGTTCCATGGCTCCACCACCTAGCCTAGCTAACTCGGGTAGGGAATCCATGCTACCCAAAGGCGAAGCCCTACGCCCCACTACCATTTTGAACCGAAGTCTGAGTACATTCGGTCATGACGATCCGAGGGACATGTCCCACTACACGTTCTTTTCAAAATGCACGGCATGACCTTTTTCTACCATGTTGAAAACTGACAGCAAACTCTCCGCTGAGTCAGTCACAGTCATGTCCATCAGTCCTTTTAAGTTCCCGACTTCAATTTTGGGAGATTGCTTTCCATATATTTTGAGTGGGTTCCCTTGAACACCAAATAAAGGTTTTCCTTTTGTGGAATCAACCGGTCCAACAAAATCCCCATACTTGGCAACGTTTTCACATGCTCCTGAGTCAACCAAAAGATATCTGAATTCATCGCTCTCAGACAATGCACTGACCTGAGCATCCCTGACAGTGAAACAGTATCGGTCATGTTCACCAAAATTGATGTTTGAAACCGATCCAACTCCGTTTCCACTGTTTGGGTTCTGTTTCGTTTGGTTGTTGTTGCCTTCGGTCTTGTTGGCGGTATTCCCCGTGGTGGTTGTGGTTTCATCCACAGATGATACCTTCCACCAACAGTTCTTTGCGACATGTCCGTACTTCTGGCATACGTGACATTTCTTTCCGGCATCAGGATTATTCACCTGACTTCCTTTGCCACCTTGTTTTCCATCACCTTTTCCTTTACCTGTACCTTTGTTTTCGTGTCCTTTTCCTTTTCCTTTGTCTTCTTTACCTTTGCCTTTTGCTCCACCTTTGCTACCTTTGTCGTTGTTCCAAGAACCTTTGTGTTTGCTCTTTCCTTTTCCTTTGTCATCTTTTCCTTTACCTTTGACCGCACCGATGTCCATGGGTGCTGGTCCTCCATCATCAACCTTGTTTGCCGCCTTAGTGATTCCAAACTGGGATCCTTGCGGTCTCTTCCAAACGTTCTTGTTGATGAGGTACTGCTCGATGTAGTCTCGAATCTTTGCGTAAGTGCCCAACGCGTCGCTGTGCATAAAGATGCTTTGCTGAAGCTCTGGAGGTGCTACATGCGCTAAGATCGAGACCTTTTCCTCTTCTGAGAAAACACTCTTGGAGGTTCGTTCAAACTCCCTTAGTTCTGATTCCCACTGATGGAGTGCAGTACTCCAATTGTTTATGTCTTTTGGGAAATTGGGGTTACTCAAATGTCTTCTCCAAACCCATGCTTTGGTTCTGTACGATGGCTCAGACAGTCTGACCAGTCTGCGCCAAACCTCAAATCCATTTGCTGTGTGCAGTCCCTGACCCACTACATTCATCGTAGGCTCCGGACAGTACTGTACGAGAAACGTATACATCGCCTTGGCCAACAAATCCTCTTCGGGGGTTTGCATAGCATCATCCAAGGGATCCTTACTTTCCCCAAACTTTTCCAACATTTCAGGGTATTTGGGGTGAACAGTGGAACTCCATGCCACGAACACATGTTTAAACTTTTCCCATCCTTCTCTTTTACCATCCCAAACTTGCGGCTTTGGGACGTTGCTAGGGTGAATCAGTTTTGTCATTTCTACCCCAGCTGGTTGTGTGCTGCTTGCCTGTGCTTGCTGAGCCTGGGCAAGTTGTGTTGTTTGCTGTGCCAGCGCCTGTGTCCTTTGCGCTAGCTCCGTTTCAGTCCGGGTCAATTTGTCCGTCTGTTCTTGCAGTCTCGTTTCAGTTTCGTTCAACCGTCTTGCTTGACTTTCAAAACTTTGGTTCGCACGTTGCAAACCTTCCACCAATTGGTTTTGCTGCGCTTGCATTTGCGCGAGCTGTGCTTGCAACTGTTCTACCGTTGCCATCTTTACAGGCTATGGTACACGAGGCTATTTACACTTCTAGTGTACAGATGCCCCTATTGGGCAGGCAAGGGGTACCTACTGGAACCTACCGTTCCAGCGGTATTACCCGCCTCGATGCCAACCTCTGTGCCAGCCTAGGTGATACCCTTCTGACCACCTGCGCCCGGCCCAAGCCCTCGACTGGTCGCTTCCCCAGTTGCTACTCCAGGTACTCCTCGACCAGCTTGTAGAGCTACTGGAAGCTGTCTCGCTCCAGTTGCTTCCACGGTCCTCCAACTCCTCACGCTGGTAGTCCCGCTCTTCACGGTCCTCCAACTCCTCACGCTGGTAGTCCCGTCCTTCTTCTCGACCTTCTTGGTTTCTTTCGCGCGACCTTTCCTCTGAGGCTTTCTGGCTCCTCAGCTCTAGGTCCTGAACAGCTCGGGCGACTTCGGAGACACCCACTGAGCTGCTAGTTGCCGCTGAAGACGCTTGCTCGGTCTTCGGCCTTTCCTCTTCTTCGGGCGAGTCGTCGACCTCCTCCTTGAAGTTCCCGAACTCGTCCACCGAGTACCACACGCTAGTTGCCGCGTGCGTTTCTTCTTCTTCTCCTACTTCTTCTTCTCCACGCTGCTCAGGCGGTGGCAGTGTGGTTGGCACGACTTGTGCCCTAGGTGCAACGAGTCCTTGTGCTACTCGTTGACCTCCTTCTTCCTGGGCGAAGGACTTTCTCGCCTTTCCACCCGGTGTAGACTGTACGACCTTGGCGAGGCTCGGGTAGTCCTTCTCGAACTTGCCCCACACGCGCTTGGTCGCTCCTCCTGCTTTGCTGTGTGTTGGCAGACCACCAACCACAGTCCTGTTCACGTCCAGAAACTCTGGTACTTCTTGTTCTGGAACGGCCTGAAGTCTCAAGCCTTCCACGTAGTCCAGCTCGTTGTGGTCCGGCCTGTTGGTCGTACCGCTGGCTGCTTCCACAGTGGTGTTCAGCAAGCCTTCTGCACGCCTTGCTGCCCCACGTAGTATCCGCCGCTCTATGGCTCGGGCGGACCCGGTTCTCTCTTGGGCTTTTCCTTGGCCCTTTGCTTTTCCCTTCCCCGTCTTGCCGGGGATTTGTCCTCTCGTCGGAGAGGTCCAGGTGCTGCTCCACACGCAGCTACCAGTCTTCTTCTCCTCGAACTCAACGAGGCGCAACCGCTGCTACAAGCACAGCTGTTTGCGGTGTTCCCCGCCTCTTACGGGCGGTGTAAACCGTCTGCGGATGCCGGCCCTGATCGGTCAGGAACCAGCTCCGCTACCATGCGAAAAGCGGACTCACTGTTTTGTGCCACTTCGAATGGTCCACTGGGGCTGCGGAGTACACATGCATGCACTGTGGTGACATGTTTTACCACAAGTCATACAGGCAGCCAAACCTAGCATATGGTGCGTATTTTGCTTGCAATTATATATATATACATTCTATATATATATATATATTGGCTGAATCCTAATTGCTGTAACAGTAAGCACGAAACAGAGCACGAAAAGGAGCACGGAGGGAGCGAAAAAAAAGCACGAACTAGAGCACGAAAAGTGTCACGGAGGGAGCTAAAAAAAAACACGAACTAGAGCACGAAAAGTGTCACGGAGGGAGCGAAAAAAAAGCACGAACTAGAGCACGAAAAGTGTCACGGAGGGAGCGAAAAAAAAGCACGAACTAGAGCACGAAAAGTGTCACGGAGGGAGCGAAAAAAAAGCACGAACTAGAGCACGAAAAGTGTCACGGAGGGAGCGCAAAAAAAAAAGCACGAACTAGAGCACGAAAAGTGTCACGGAGGGAGCGAAAAAAAAGGCACGAACTAAAGCACGAAAAGTGTCACGGAGGGAGCGAAAAAAAAAGCACAAACTAGAGCACGAAAAGTGTCACGGAGGGAGCGAAAAAAAAAGCACGAACTAGAGCACGAAAAGTGTCACGGAGGGAGCGAAAAAAAAAGCACGAACTAGAGCACGAAAAGTGTCACGGAGGGAGCGAAAAAAAATAGCTTCCTCAACTTATGAAGAAAATTTGTTTTTTGACTGTTATAGGTATTAGGATCTACCCAATATATATATATACATCAACAAATAACTGGTTGGTGGTTTCAACCTACCCCTCTGAAAAATGATGGAGTGAAAGTCAGTTGGGATGATGAAATTCCCAACTTTTCATGGAAAGTCAGTCAAAATTCCATGGTTCCAAACCACCAACCAAAGACAAGGGACAAGACAGGCATTAGCCTTTCCCCGATTTCCCTGAGGCCAAGGCAATGAGGCTACTGCAAGTCAAAGCAGACGTGAACATGATGATGGCCTTGTAGCGCAGTGCAGAATTCAAGCAGTGTTCAAAACATGGTGCGAATTCTAAAAGAGACTGGTTGCCTGGTTGCTTGCCCTCCGGAAATTTGTTAGATAGCTATGGAAAGTGGCCAATTTACAGATGACTTACCTATTGAAAATGCTGATGTTCCATAGTCATGTTACGAGAAGTTACGAGATATTGTGAGTAGGATTCCAACAAAATCAGTCATGTCATAAGATCGAATAAGCCAGGTAGTACAAGACCAAATAACTGGTTGGTGGTTTTAACCATCTTGAAAAATATGACTTCGTCAATGGGAAGGATTATCCCATATATTATGGAAAATACCAAATGTTTGAAACCACCAGCCAAAGCATCAATGAACCAGTGTATTGACATTGCTCAATTATGCTGAGAGATCTATTGAATCTATTGCTTCCTTGGGAAATATGATGGAGATATAATGGGAATATGATGCTTAATGATGCTTATATTTATATGGAAATACCATGGGGCTATTTCGATGTGTCAAAAAATGCTGCATTTACTGATTTACATAAATTGATGACTTTTACAAGGGAGAAAAAAATGATGATGAACCGTGGAATGGGGGTATGTGCCTCTCAAAAGGGTGATACAAAAAGGACCGCAGATAGGGAGCTACGTCGACCTACGTCCTTTTGGGTCTCCTGTTGAGGCAAGGCTTTTCAACATCTGCAACCTGCTCGAGATCGACAACAAGACTGGCCCTCGGAGGCATTTCTGTACGGGCCGTTCTCCAACGAAATAGGTTGTGTATGTATGTATACATTCCTGAGCACATATACATGTGACAACTTTCTGTACATAGATCAATCTATATATATATATACATCTGATTCATTATATATCAATATATATTATATATTGTATTTGGTCCATTTCCACATGCATACAACGTCAAAGAAACAGTACCTCGAACGCAGTTTCAACATCTTGAGCTCGCCAGTTCCCTTCATCACAAAACTCTACGGAGAATGGCTTGTAACTTGTTTACGGATTGTAAATACAAAAATGAATGGGTTTTCCAAACTGCAACATACTAGCTCTGGGATATATCATGGTATATCAAATATGTCCATTCTCTCTCATTATATCGTGAATTCTCACCAGCAAGTTCTTGGTTACATCATGTTGAATCCCTATGAAATCCCTGTTGGAGAGTCACCTCCATTCCCTTGGATCCCGTTACGTACATCATCAAAGGCGACCATCTGCCGTTCCACATCCTCAGGCTGGAAAAATCACCATATTTACATAGAGATGAGATCAACCAAGGATCTAAAATGATAAAAGTAATAAAAGTAGTCCCTAGTTTACTAATTAGGCGTACAGTACCATGTATAAAGAGAAATATCACTATTTTGGGAACCCCGCATATTGATAAGCTGCATGTTTAGGAAATCCGGGGCTAACATTAAAAAAACATTTCTACATAGACCGCTTTCCACAGCTATCTTGGTGGTGTGTTGATCTCCTGACGTTGGTAACCCACGATATTTCTGGGATAAGTTTGGTGCTAGTTGAACTCACTTTAGTGGGATAAATATGGATCTATATATGTATACACACATTTGGTGTTTGCCTATTGAACCCAACTAAAGATCTAGTTGTGTATAGTGGCCACTCCAGAAAGAACTGATAATTCACAGCTATAATTACGAGTACCATCCTGTAAATTGACATGGACCCTGCCAAATTAGGGCTTGGAAGACTAGTTTCCACATGTTTCCACTAAAATTAGTTATTTTCATCATTTTTCATCTACTTATGTTCAAGGTCTGTCATAATCTTGGGGAGTGTAGCTGGTTTTTTTTGGCTGCAACTTGATATTAATTTGGATGGAGCTTCCTTAAAGGGGACGATCAGTTGGTTGGTTTTCAGAGGGATTCCCATAGTGGATGATGATAATCTCATCTAATCCCTAGAAGATATTGCTTTTTGTGACCGCTTTTTCATCATCAGTTTCATCAGTTGTCAATGATTCATCCCCAAGGATTTTTTTGCTCAATCCCCGAACTCATGGTTTAAATGTACATCAAAGAACCATAACCAGGGTAGAATCATAAGTGGTGACCAACTCAGCTTGGCAACGGGATATCGAGGCAAAAGGCGCCCAACGCCTCACTGCCGGTGCATTTTCCATTGCTATCTTGGACCGAAAGTCAGAAGGTTTGGGCAAAATCACAAGTTTTAAACGCTTTAAAACATGAATTTCCCAATCCTTTAATTTGATGGCAATCATCGGGGAAACCCCAAATTTACACATCGTACAGTACAATCCACGAATGCTTTTGGTATACATACTGCAAACACATGCAAACACCAAGATACAAGAGTAAAATACGACTTAAATAGTGGCAAATTATGTTTCCATTTTTCTGGAGGGTATTTTGGAATAGATCGCATGGTTTGGAGAAAACCTTTCGTATTTTTGCAGGTTGCGGGTAGGTCGAACAAATGAACCTCTTGTTGTAGACGAGCCTTTCCAAAAGCCCATTTCAAGCGCACTCACAACACGTGAAGAAAATACGGATTCGTCTGCAAAGATTGTTTTTTGCAGAATTCCAAAGTATTATCATCATGCGGAGGTTTCCTGAAATGAGGGAACCTGAAATCATCCATTTTTGATTTGGATTTTCCAGGATATAAACCATCCAGCTATCGGGGTATCCCCATTTATGGAAACCTCCGTTATTATATACATGTGCATATAAGATTGATCATTATTAACCATCATTAACCATCATTACCCTCTGGTAAACTAACAGAACTATGGAAAATCACCATGTTCAATGGGTAAATCCACTATAAATGGGCCATTTTCATTTTCATGTTATGCCACTATAAATCACCATTTTTAATGGGTGGTAAATCCACTATAATCCACTATAAATCCACTATAAATCACCATTTTCAATGGGTAAATCCACAATAAATCACCATTTTCAATAGCTTTTTGTTCAATTACCAAGGGATTCGATGGCGCCGTGCCTGTCTGACCGTGTAGTCCATGTCTCTTCCCCCTGGGATGAGGGGATGGCAATGTGACAAGTGCCCCGCAGAAGTCATCGCTGAGTTAACTTGGACTCATGGTATGTGTATATATATAGTTATATATATATATACAGTGTGTATATATATATACATATTATTGACATAATATATATTGATAATAACATGATATAATTTTCCATTATTTCCACTATATCTATAACATTATATCTATAACACTATATATAATTATATATATATATACTGGTTGGTGGTTTGAACCCATCTGAAAAATATGAAAGTCAGTTGGGATTACTATTCCCAAAATATGGAAAAATAAAATTCATGCTCCAAACCACCAACCAGTATATAACTCACAGTGTGTATAGTATATACCATAGAAATAGTTGAAAATGATATTTTACCTAATATAAAAACGGTGATGCTTCATAGCAAACTAACCAGAGGGTATGGATATAGATATCGAATTAGTTAATGGGGGTTGCAAAGCAAGTTACAACTGGGGCATCTGGTGCTATGTCAGCTGTTGGGTTTATGGTAGATATATTGCTACAGTTAGTGGGTTTTCAGAATTGTTCACTGGTTGGTGGTTTCAACCCCTCTGAAACTATATGAATTCGTCAGTTGGGATTATTCTTCCCAATATATGGAAAAATGAAATTCATGTTCCAAACCACCAACCAGATATAATTATATATAACTCACAGTATATATATATATACACCCTCTGGTTATTTAAGATATTTTTTCATATGTGCCATAAACATGGAATCCATGGAGTATGCTCATCCATCCCATGGGAATAACAACAACGTCCTGGGTCCCTGGGTGAAATTTATTGGATTTGAATATATTATATTGATGTCCTGCGTCGCGTGACCAAATCAAGCCCCTATTGGTACAGCTTCAAATTTCTTGCAATGCAAATGGGTTAGCTGTAGCAAATCCTATTGGCAGGGCTATGATCTAGGATGATATAAGGATATGGGGGCCCCTTGTTTTCTGCAAGCAAGCAAGCAAGCAAGCAAGCAGGCAGGCAGGCAGGCAGGCAGGCAGGCAGGCAAGCAAGCAAGCAAGCAAGCAAGCAGCAGGCAAGCAGCAGATGAGCAGCAGGTGAGCAGCAGGTGAGCAGCAGCTGAGCAGCAGCAAGCAGCAGCAAGCAGCAGCAAGCAGCAGCAAGCAGCATCAAGCAGCAGCAAGCAGCAGGCAAGCAGCAAGCAAGCAGCAACCAGCGTTTGCCCCCTTGAAAGAATGATCAAATATAAGTTTTAAAAATCAACGCAATGCAAAAATTGAACTTTTTCCAGGTGCACGGCCCCAAAACAATGAAATCGTTCGATTACTAAAAGCTGTGGTGATGCCAAACTTGAACTTTTTCCAGGCGCGCGGCCTCCCAAAACGACTTTTACGAGCTGATACGACTTAACGCTAGCGCTAGTACGTATATATATATATTATAGTAATTCACGACCCTGACATAGGCAATGTTGGGATGATTCCCTATACCAAGCACTATGAATTTCCAGATTTTTCCACACAGTGAGGGCTTTTTTCCGCATGGCGCATGTTGGCCCTGGGCGCCCCAACGTCCAAAACCTTCGGGCTTCACGAAATGGCGTTGATACAACCAGGTTCTGTACCTGGCATATCGCACCGGAGATCTTGAGCACGGGGCCAGTGCTACCATTGGAGCTCGAATCACTGGTTGGTGGTTGCTGCTAACCCCTCTGAAAAATCATGGAGTTCGTCGGTTGGGATGATGACATTCCCAATATATGGAAAAATCCATTAAAATCCATTAAAGTCCAGTAAACCACTATAATCCATCAATCCCAAGTGAATGGAAAGTCATAAAATTCCATGGTTCCAGTCACCACCAACCAGCTACAGCATTTCCAAAATCTGGGCATCCTCTTGGCGCAAAATTGGAACTCTTCAACAATGGCAAGATCCGCATTTTTCCCCACTTTTTTGGGTGCCCTGGGGCACATCAAAGGGATGGGCTTGAAGAGGTACTTGTCTTCTTCTAAGATATGCCTCTCAGGTGGACGTGGACCGTGGGCACGGGGTTTTTCTTTTTGTGGGACGAATTGGGCACCTGGAGTACTCAATTTTATCCACGGGAAAAAAAAAGGACTTCCATAAGTGCTTCGATAACCATGGGATGATCGAAAGTTGAGATGACAAATCAACACTCTGAGGGTGCTCCATTAGCTTGAACAATTTGCCTAGAGCTTCATTTGAGCCAAAATAAGTGCTCGACTTGAAACCTGCTCGCTTTGGTTAAAGGTGTTCGGGCAAAAGTAGAACAAAAAATATATAAGGGCACGTTTTCACAGTGCCCTTGTAAGCATTTGTCTATGGGATTGTGCAAAAGGAACGCAGGTTGAGCACTTCTTTTCGCACAAGGATGCAGGCATGGGACTGCTTGGGTGTGTATTCGGGGTTAGTTTCATCGATATATGATATAACCATGCGGGTAACCTCCATAAGTGGGGATGGGGGTCCCCATAACTATGGTGAGATATATCCACTTACAACTGGAACTGCACCCCCCAGTAAGGCTTAAGGAGGGTTGCGATCCTGACATAGAAAGTGTCTAATCACAGACCTTCAGAATCTCAACTCTCAGGAAGTTCCCTTCTATACCATGTGATTATAATATAATATTAAAAGATGGTAATATTGGTGTTTTTAGTCAATGGTTCTTGCAAATAATAATAATTATTATTAATGGTTCAGTATTATGTTCTTATTGAACCAAATACAGTTTGTTATGAACCAAATATTAGAAATTGATGTTATATATACAGACTCCAGTGTTTTTTGTATCTGCCATCATCACCCAAAAAGATTGCCATCTTCCAATCTCTGAAACGCCGAAAGTTCCATGATGAATTCTCCGTTTTTTTTTGGTGAACTCCGACCCCAAATCCTTCCCCAGTGAGAGACTACTGGGTAACCACGGGTACCCTCTGGTTATGTCAACAGTTTGCTATTGAAGCCATGGCCCAGTCGAAATGGTTAGTTGATTTATCCACTAATTAAAATGGGTGGATTTTCAATAGTTATGTTAAATTACCAGAGGGTAACCCAAAATCCATTGGTTAACCATCAAGAGTGTCCTTATCTTTAAGTGGCCAATTCATCGGGGTTTTCCACCTATACTCCATTATGACCAGATCCCATATTTATCTGGATGAATTAGTGATGCATTGCCTATAGCAACCAAAAAAAAACGATAGTGATAGAACTTAGTAAGATTCAACGAAAATAGTGATAAATTGAACCTTTTCTATCTTTTTGTTAATTGCTACTATAAAATCATCCTGAAGTAGATTAAATACGTATTTAAATTTCAATGCTATTCCCATGTTTGTGGAGATTCTTTGTCCATGACTATCTTCAGGAAGCCTATATATACGGTATGTAATGTGGGTCAAACAATGTCATTTTTACCACCCATGACTGGGAATGGTCTGTACCACCTATAAAAATGATGATTAAGGGGATGATTTATGTTTTACCATGTTTTACCCACATTATAGTAGAAATATGATGGTAAAAAACGGTGATCAACTAGGGAATTTTCATGAATTTTCATGGGGATGAGTGCCACAACCATCTGGTTATGACTAACAGTTCGCCATGGAAAATCCCAAAATAAATTGAGGTTTCGTTCGCTGGGAAAATCATTTGAATTTCTATGGGCCATGGCTTCCATGGCTGCATGTTAGCTTAACCATGGCGAAGTGTTAGTCATAACCAGAGGGTATAGCTTATAAACCACCCAGAAAACCACTGACGATTCCTGGCTCAATGACTCAACCCACGTCCCAAGGTCCCAAGTTATGGCTCAACCCGGCGGCAGAAAACCGCCTGCTGCGGGGAAGCGTTTCACGGCCCGCCAAGTCGACCACCTACGGTCGTACCGATCCGGATCCGTCAAATTGATCCAGTGAGCTGCCAATGGCAGATTGGGCAGCTTTTCAATGGTAAAATCCATGGAAAATCATGGTTTAATCCAAGGTTAAATGAGAAAATCATGGGAAAATACCTTCGAAATAAATCATAAAAAGAAGATTTGAGAGGAGTTTCTATGGGTTCAAGAGGATGGCGATATGGGCTATACGTGGTGATGTTCATGGATATCAATGGGGATTATAATATGATACTATCAATGAAATTAAGGGGATATACCAGTGATATACCCCCTGGCAATCAAACAACGAAATGGCGGGTTTTAATGGGGAAAATAATCTAGAAATTGTGGGTTTGACCAATTTTTGGATACCTTCCGGTACCTTAGCAGTTTGCGCACAGGAAGCAAACTGGCCCATGTAGTTCAATGATTAAAATATTCAAATGGTGGTGTTCCATGGCTATTTTAAATATGGCAATCCTACTGGTAATTGTAATTGCAGTAAAATAGTAAAACATAGTAAAACATAGTAAAACATAGTAAAACATAGTAAAACATAGTAAAACAATGACAATTTAGATAACAATCATGTGGATGGTAAATTGTTGTGGTAATTGTAATGAATCTAGCGAATAATAAGTCTAAATAAAGCCAAAGATCATACTGCACCATGCAATATTGGTAAGGATTGTAATTTTGGGTATCCCCAAGATAAACAATGCAGGAAAGACATATCATCACTGTTTCTTTTTAGATAAATCGTGCAAATCATCTGTAGTTTTCTTGAAAATGCACGTTTTAGGGTACCCTATAGCAATTTTCAACAGTTCCCTACAGGATGGTGCCCCCCCAATCATATGTTGGTTTATAACCCCATTTTTGGTTCTATCTACTGTAAACCCAGCCACGAATTCAGCCACTTTTTTTAGGCAACTGAACGCTACCCTAAAGGTAAACTAACGTAACTATGGAAAATCACCATTTTTAATGGGAAAATCCACTATTTCTATGGCCATTTTCACTAGCTATGTTAAATTACCAGAGGCTATCTTGGGGGCCCCATCCTCTATGGAAAAGCCACCCATTTCGGGGCCACGGCTTCGCCCACCTGGAAATTGGGGAAGGCGGGTGGCTTTTCCCTCACAGCGCGCGCAGCTTTTCGCGCGCGGCCATGAATAAATTCTGCCGAAGGTGGGGGGAACCCCCATAAAGAGATCATGACCCAAAACCATGGGATGACTAGTCAAATGGTGATATGATTGGTGATGGGTATATCAACCTTATAACTGGGAATATTGGGGATGAAAATTCATGGGGATATAAACCAACACAAAAAAAATGGTGTTATCTAATAAATTCCAATCATTTCATGCGAATATGTCGCGTCGTAGTGCTTCATCCCAGTTGGTAGGTCGCTAGTTTAACTCCAGTTTTAAGGCAGGGATTATAGCATGACTGGGGCGAACCACCAAGTACCCTCTGGTAAACATACAAAAAGCTATGGAAAGTCACCATTTTGAATAGGTTTTTATCAACGAACTAAATGGGGTATTTTCAATAGCTATATTAAATTACCAGAGGCTAACTTGAAATCCCCCATTACAAACCCTGCTCTTTGTATTGGATCTACGGTTTTTTTTGGGTGGGGGCCCATGTGGGAGGCAGGCTATCCACTTCATGGTGAATGGCTCTGAACAGCTCCCGCAAAAAACCATTGGATAGCAATATTCAAGCACACCCAAAAAAACAAGATTGATTGGTGTCATATCATATTTCCATTATTAAATCCCCATTATATATAATATATTCCCCATAATATACTATACTATATATATATATTATATTATCCCCATTATATCCCCAATATCTGGTAAGACTTCACCCGGCACCCATTCTCCAAGCTCTGAAAAACGACCAGCATTTGCCAGCGCAGCCAGGCGGCATTGTAATCTCACCAGTCATGGGGCTTCTCCTGTTGAGAGGCTGACTGTGGTAAGACAACTGACATGCTCCGTAGACCATGATCGACAAGTCATAATAAAATGTGAATACATATTGTATGTATACCCTTTATATAACTGTAGATAGAATTAGAAAGCGAGAAACAACGGCATAGACTCGGGAGAGGCAAGAACAGGCAAGAACATCATCAGGGAAGCCGCCAATGGTCTGCCCTGCCAGGCCCTGACACCTGCATTTTCCCATCAACAAGCCAGAGACCAAGTTCTTCTTCTCAAACTTCAACTTCAGCGGCCAACCTCGCATCATGCAGCGAACCACAACGAAAATTGAAGCAGCGGACCATGTTTTGTTGCTGAAACACCTGAAACAAATTGAAACAGTATGCCGTATGCCTTTTTTGACCGTCACTTTCCACAATCAAAAAACACATTCAGAGTTCTTGCTTGGAACCAATAAACAGAAAGAAATTGACATTCCACTCGAAAACATCCAACCCCATCGACCATCAATCTTTTACCAACGCCATTCTCCCCGGAGCCAAACAAGGATGACCTCAACAACAACAAGGTAAATAACTTGCACATCCTACCTCCACAATACGTGTATGTGTATATATATATATATTCAGGGTATATATGTATATACGCTGTACATATATAATCTGTATATATAATAAACATATCATATGTATTATATTGTATATATATATATATATACAATATATACTATCCATGTGTATATATATATATATTACATTCAACATCATTCGATACTATACATCTACCAAAAACTCACCCACTTAAGGTTCGCAACCAGCGCTGGGTAACCACCGGCCGACCACTCCACTGGCGGTCCCGACCATCATCAAGCAGCACTTGTCGCTGCTTCTGTTCGTTCGCCTCCTCTTCGGCTTCTTCCTCCGGCCTGGAAGATGTGGCATCGGGCATCCGCCGAACTGGGAGAGTCAAAAACGGAAGCCATTTTTTTTCGATAGCTAAGTTGGTGAACATAACTAAGTTTAACTAAGGTTTATAATGGAATATAATGGACATATCTGTAGTTGGGTGGGGTTACAAGACCCGCTTGTAACTGGAGGGGCCCTTCCTGTTGCGGATAATGAAGAATAACAACGCTCGAACGCCGCCGTTCGTTACGATGCGAGTAAGTAACATTCACCCAACATTCAGCGAACGTCGAGCCAATTATGACAATGACAATAATAATGATTATCATGATCATGATAATGATAATTATGATAGTGGGTTGGTTAATACTGATAATTATTAACCGATATGAACCGTGGTTCATGGACAAAGAGTAGATATTGATTTCTGGTGAATAGTGGGGTGTAACAGACGTTCACTGTTCCCACATGGCCAATTATAGGCCCTTGTAATCTTACCCTCCGGCAACATAGCTATTGAACATGGCCATTTAGTTTAGTTCGTTGATTTACCTTGACATATTTTTTTGCTTGTCTATAGCTATGTTAGTTTACCGGAGGGTATATCTCCCAAGAAAAAACAAAACGCTACGCCAAAACGCTACGCCATGGCCACTTTGAAATTCGGGATTTCCCCGCCCAGTTCATCCCACTTCTGCCATGCCCACCCTCCATAGCTGCGAGAGTAGTACTTCAACTCTCGAGCTACACCTGGCGGGTTTCGAAGGCTGGCATATAGCTCTGTGAAAATCTATGGTTTCAAAACCAACAACCAAATTCTATGGGGATATTTCTATGGTTTAATTATACAGTAATAACCCTACTCAAATTGCTGTCAATTTTTGATGGTAGATATGACCCATTTTCGGACACACAAATCTAATCAAGAAACGGCCAAACATGTGCCGCTTGGAAAAACAGCTCGGCAAAGGTTTGAGATGCTAACGTGGAATTAAAATGAATTACTGTACCTCCATCAAACTCGCTTCCACACTCAGTCATCTTGCCTTTCAGGATCTGGTGCGTCGTCTAGTGATGTTTTCATGCTGCTTAAAAGCCTTCAACGGTGCCCTGTCCACCTGGGTCCCGGCCCTCTTGGCTCCTGAGGCGGCAGGGCGCCATGGGGTCGAGGGCTATCTTGGATCGCCATGGGAATGGACCATTCCCTGTTTACTTCGGTGATGTTCCAGCTATTTGGAGCCATTGAGATCCATTGAGTTTTGAGTTCAGGGATTTCCCAGCGATGTTTGATTACCCGTTAAACAAAACAAAATGGTAAATGGGTTGTCTTTTTGAAAAGGTATATCATGTCTCCACTTACAAAGTGCCTGGCTGCCATGCCCCCATGGCAAGGTGAAATCATCTGGTCACCATTCCAGTGACGTCGGGACGTGAGGTCCTTGCAGTTCACAAAGATCATATCACGTTGCTTTACATCCCCATTGTATCATTGTATGCCCATTAACAAAACTCAATAGCACCCATAGACCATATCCCCAACCTTACCATCATGTTATATATATATACATATGTATATATATATAGATAGATATAGATATATATATATATATACATATTTGTATACATACATATATATATATATGTATATATATGTATATATATATGTATATGGAGGGGTTCTTAAAATGGGGGATCCCCAAGTCACCATTGTGTCTCAGGTTTTCTACTAAAATGGTCGCCTACGTTCGGGCACCAGAGATCTGAGGATCCGGACCATGCATCCTTCACCATGGCAACTCAAGTTGCACCTGGCACAACTGGGATCATCTTGAAAGAAATTTGGGGGGTTGAAGCGAAAATCGGGAAACTGACTGAGCTTTTACATGAAATTGTTTGGTGGATTCCTGCCAATGTTCTCTTACCCCTACCTAGGACGTCTTTCTCAAGCATCGGGATGCAAAATCAAGAATGGCGTGCAGCATCCAATCAGTAGGGCCAGCACTTTACGTGCCTGGCTCGTCCTTGCAACTTTCCAAGCTGCTGTCAGCGGTTTTCCATGGCCCATTTTTTTAGGTAATGGGAAGCTGACAGGCAATGCTACGAGTACACTACGCTAATCTTCCACCATGCACTCAAAATCATCAAAATGTGCCACGACTTCTGAGTTGAAACTCTTGAGATGCACAACCAATGTTGCAAGACATTGTAAGATATGAGACCATCGGCAAATATGCTGCCCCTCACATCCTCTTGAAAAGCAAGTCAATCACCAACCCATGCTACGCCTCCCATTGTCCAGGCTGCGTGACCATGGGCTCTCTTTCCTATTTGTGCGTCAGCACTCTGCTCTCCAGGGGGCCAACCAGGTGTTTGAAGCTGTCCGAGTCGTTGATTCGCTGTTCCCCTTGTGCCAGCATTCGGGTTATGGTTTATTATCAAAATCGAAAATGAATCGTGAGCTTTTTGCAGCGTCCAATGCAAATGCTGAAAGCAAGTTACAGCATGTTTGTCTTTGATGTCTATCTACGCTAAAGCTGCAAGCCCGCCGAAGAACAGCAAAAGACTCAAAAAAGGGGAAACATGTGGCCAAAAGTCCCTGATGACACTCACATTTGGGCTGAACTGCGCGTGATACTGGACCAATATCGCTTCAAATGTATACATACTACGTACGTGAATTACCCATTGACCAACCATTCACCGGCTACAGTATCATGTATTTCAATGTACCCTCTTGTAATCTAACATAACTATGGAAAATCACCATTTATAGTGAATTTTCACATGAAAAATGGTGGATCTTTCCATAGTTATGTAACAGTTTGCCAGAGGGTATTTCAATTGGTTCAATGATTTTTCCCCATGTTCTGTACAGTGGTCACAAACATCGCCCCGTTGGAAGGAAACCATCAGAAACTTCGACGTTGGATTGCCGCGGCGCAGCGTTGATGTCATAAATAACCACCAAAGGATAATATGGTTTTAATATGCCATCATATCACTGGCCATTTCAGGAACCTAAATTGGAGGTACCTACCATATATAAGGCCTATGTAAGGGAATATCCCCACAAAATAAGGCCTTATATGGTACAGTACCCCCATCTTAGGATCCTGGATTTCCCATTGATCATAAATAATGCTGATATTGATCATATTATGATATAAGATGCTTACCATAACCATGATATGTCAATATATCTCAAAAGTATATGGTTCTATTTTGGGATATGGCCCTTTGAAAAGGGTCCACCACTTCCACCGTTCTAAGCGAAATCGGCCACCAGCACTCTGGGCACTCGTTAGAAACGCCGCACTTTGGCTGGCTGCCATGCACTGACCAAGCATCGCTGGGCAGTGGCATGTCATGTCGCATGTCATGTATCAAAGAATTCGATCCGCACAACTCCTTTTTGGAAATTCAACCATGTCTAACCACAGAAAAACATAGAAATGTCTGTTTAAGATTTACCCTCTGGTAATTTAACAAAAAGCTATTGAAAATGGCCATTTATAGTGGATTTTCCCATTAAAAATGGTGGATCTTTCCATAGCTATGTAACAAATTACCAGAGGGTAAACACTCTGAAGATTTTGAGGATGATTTGGAGCGACACCGTGACCACCGTGACCACCGAAAAACCACCCGACCGCAGGGACACCTCAGAGTTGCGCTTGCCGTTTCCGCTTGCCGTTGCTGCTCAGTGTTGCCTCGGAGGTCGACCGTAAATTTTATTCCAGATGTATTGAGAATGGTAATACAATGGTAATACAATGGTAATACAATGGTATTCCAGATGTATAGATATGGGAATGAAGATGGTAATATACTGGTTTTTATATAATAGTAATACAATGGGATTCCCATAAAACATACCATAGATATGAACATATAATGGGAATACAATGGGACTATAATCGGAATAATGGGAATCATTGATGCATGCTGATTAACTGGTTATGAAATAGGGAATTTTACTACCTGGGTTATTGGGGATCATTTTAACCCATAGAGAAATCTATCAACCAAGTAATTTACCATCTGGTTATTTGTTACAGTTCGCCATGGTATAGATGACCCATAGAAATAGATGGTTTACCGTTCTCAAAAATGGTGGATCTTTCCATGGCAAACTGTTAGTCATAGCCAGATGGTATTGAGGAGATATGGAAACTCCCAGCATGCATCATGAATCTACATGATTTCCTTGTGGAACTATACGGACTATGTTACTTTCCATATCTAGACGTTCGTCTACCCAATTGGGCAATGCGAAAAAAACGATGGAGATATCGTTGGGAGATATTTCGAGATCACCTCAAGTATAACGGGAGAGTTGATAGAAGTTTTAACATAGTTTAAGCAACATCAATAAGGTATAAAAACTAACCAGCACAGTGGGGATATGGTCAAGTTTCACCCGAGCCACAAATGCCAAGGGACGGTGAAGAAGTCATCGATTTTCTCCCACATTTGCTTGGTCATCATGTGCCCCACTCCCTGGGTGTCGACATGTCTGACATGTCTCCAACTTCGACTTCAGATTCTAACAGAACTTATTTAATGTGGTTAAAAACAATCATGTTTACCAGCCAAAAATGGGAATGGTAAGTTTATACCACCTAAAAAAAAATGGTGATTTTTCTGGGGGATGGTTTTTTTAATTGTACCAACATCATTTCATGTGATATGAAATGGGATCTTCGAAAAAAACACGGAAATGTATGCAACCTTTCGGATGTAGAAACAGCCTCTTGGATGTAGACCCGCAATCGCTCCTGGCCGTCGAGGCGCTCATAGGCCTATCGTGGCGGCTTCAGGGAATAAAAGGTAGGCACTTGGAGGATCATCGAAATTTGCAGGAATGTACCCGGCCTGGTAAACACACAAAAAACCATGGAAAATTGCCCATTTATAAATGGTTTAACAGTTTACCTATTAAAAATGGTGTTGTTCTATAGCTATGTTAAATTACCAGAGGGAAAGTGGTTCATAACCATAGTCAGTTCTTCCATTTTTAGATTTTAATAGATGAGATAAACCCCTCAGGGGACTTACTAACCAGGCCTGTTTTCACCACAAAACCATCACGGGATGGTTTCTGAACTGCGCAGCATTTCTCGGACCATGCACTTTGTTGATTGCCACGCATGGCATAGATCCCTCTGGCCTCTGGCTATGAAATTCCTAACATTTCCTAGCTATATCATGAAAAAACTAAAGTACACCATCTCATCTTGGCATTGGGACTTCCATGAACCGCTCACATCCCTAAGTTTTCGCGAGGCACAGACTGAAGCAAAATGCAAGGTTTCGCCGCTATACGCAGCTATACAAATAAACTCTTGATGAGCTGGCTGCAATGCAAATCTAAAAACAAAACCTCAGGTAGTTGCCTGACGTGTCTTTGGATCGAGTAGGAATCAGTCTATTATCCCTCCAAGTAGATCAACAGGACTACAGTCTTCCCTAGTTATATTATCACAGGTTATCAGGACTATTAACAGCTAAATAATAAGCATTATCAACTTTTGACATCTATATCAAGCTATGATTATCAGATTTATCAGATAATGATAAATAATCAACAGTCGACAGGGATTTCCTGTAGATGTTCCTTCCAAATTGCTGGGTCCTTTTCCCGGCCAGGACCACCTCTTTCGTGGCTGCCAGCGACTGCTGAAGTCCTTCCAGTGGGCAGCGAGGATCCTGCCACAAAAAAAGACCGTTCGGGTCGTGACCCGTTGGGCTTCGTGGTGAGTTTATGGCAGGGCAGACACAACTTGGGTAGCCTCTGGTGAACGAACATAACTATGGAAAACCACCGTCCCGGGGAAAATTCTTTTATAAATGGTCCATGTGCCATAGCCATGTCGGTTTACTGGAGGGTATACTGGAATACCCCAATTATGTACAAAAGCGATTGATGCTGAGAGGCCAATCCCACTAATTGATAACTGGGGTAGATCCCACATATCTATATTGATAATATATGGTGATATATGGTGATTTGACCCACTTGCAATGCCGTTTCATGCACACCCAAGTATGAAGATTTTGTGCTGAAATGCGGGAATTTCCAAAACATCTTCAAACATCTTCAAAAAAATACAATTTTGGGAATTTCAAAAAAACAACACCTTCAAAACTGGAGATCTTGATCTTGTACATTGCCAGGGGCAGCTATGGGGATGGCCATGGGGTGCCACCTTCTCGCCGTTGAGCACCAGCAGATGACGTGGAGCAATGCAAGGCAGAGTCAAGGGCCTGCCATGTGGCACAGCTGGATGCTTCGTGGGGATGGGGGGCCTTTATGGAATCACATGAGGTTTTTGTCTCAAAAATGAAGAAATACCGGAATACCCAAAAAACATAGTTTATGTCAAGCTGAAAAACGTAGCAATCAATGACCATGGTTCACCGACTTCCTTGACTCCAAATGCCCAATGCCCATGGTTCGGCGCACGCATCGAAGGCATCTTTGATGGAAGGATCCACCTGTAACCGGCGGAGCATGGCCCTGTAGGTAAAACTCACCTAGATTGTAAAAGTAGCATTGAAACAGGACCCAAAACCTCCGGGAACCGGGAACCTGAGGCTTGCAAAGATGTTGCGTGCGTTGATTTCTGCAGTTCCAGGCTGAAGCTCATCATTGCGAACACAAGAGTTTGCCGGAACAGCATTTCCGGGAGAAAAGAAAGGTGAAAAAAATGCCAAGAAAAAATAAGTACATGCCTTAAAAAAGAAACAACTACAATAATCATATAAATAGATAATGATAATGATCATAATCATAATGATGAATAAAGAAATCTATATAGGTAGCACACAACAATATTTATCATTATTGTTTAAAGAAAATGAACCTGCTTTTTATCATCATCATCATCATCAGGAGGTAGGATGGAAAATGGATGAAAACCGAGAATCGTTTGAAAATGGGTGTGGTATCTGAAAATAGGGGATTGATCAACCAAATGGCCATGTGTTTCTTGATGATATCACGATCACTAGTTCTGCTATGGATACTTATCGAAGGAAGTTTAGAAGTCAAACTTCCGACAATACGGAGAGGTGGAAAGCGGAGGTGGGAAGAGTCAGAGAAGAGAAGAGAGAAGATCAGAGAAGAGAAAGAGTCAGAAGAAAGAAGATGCAGATGCGCGAAAAGGTAGAAAAGTCGCGCTTCATTGTTTTTCCAATGATTTGTGGCTCCGGAAGGTCGAAAAGTAGGCTCGCTAAAGCGGCAGGTGCGGAGCCATCTGGTCAGATGAGAGATGAAAAATTGCACGTCGTTGTGGCTCGAAGCACATTTCGAAGTCAAAATGTACAAAACACACCAGCTTCGGAACACTTTTAGAAGTTGAGATGTTGAAAAAGTGCACGCCGTTGCGGCGCGAAGCACATTTCGAAGTCAAAAGTGTTAAAAACTGCCGGTCTCGGGCCACTTTTGGAACTTGAGATGTCGAAAAAGTGCACGCCATTGTGGCGCGAAGCAGATTTCCAAGTCAAAATGTTAAAACACCACATGTTCGGACCACTTTTGGACGTTCAGATGTCTTTTTGCGTGGCAGGCACAAGGGATTGGGCACCTCGTCAAAAGTGAGGAAAACGTGAGGGTTTTGTAGCAGTTTCAACTACAACCGCCACTACACTCCACTCCACTCCACTCCACTCCACTACAACTACAATCACAACTACTACTACAACTACATTGCACTACACTACAACACACTCAATTACGTTACACTACGCTACACTGACTACAATTACAGCTACAACTACAACTACAACTACAACTACACTACATTACACTACACTACACTCCACTTCGCTTCACTACACTACACTAGATTGCACTACACAACACTACACTACAACTACAACTGCAACTACAGCTACAGCTACAGCCTCAACTACAACCACACTACAATACACTACACTACACTACAGTACGCTATACTACGCTACACTAACTACAACTGCAACTACAACTACAACTCCAACTGCAACTACAACTACAACTACAGCTACAACTACAACTACAACTACAACTACACTCCACTACACTACACGACACTCCTCTACAATACACTCCAATCCACTACACTCAATTACACTACACTACGCTACAGCACACTAACTACAGCTACAACAACAACTACAACTACCACTACAACTACAACTACAACTACACTACATAACACTACACTACACTACACACTTTACTACACTACACTAATTACATTACACTACACTGCACCACACCACGCCACACTGCACTACACTACCCTACATTACATTACACCCATTACACCACCACAAATGCAACTGCAACGACACTACACCACAATTACAACTCCACTACAACTACAGCTGCGCTACACCACACTACATCCAGCAGTTGTGGGTGAGGTGACCGACCAGGTGACCACTGCAACCATTGTAACCACTCCAAAAACACACAACTCCAACCACATTTCAGTCCATCAGTGGATTCGCTCTGCCATCCGTGATTCACAACAACCAAGCTCTCCTATAGGTGTCCTATTCTGAAACTTCCGCCACCGCCTTGTACAGTACTACTGGTAGATTGCTATTACCATCATACTACTCTGAACAGTATTATTACGGTCAAACGCCATCGTTTGCCCGGACCGGAAAGGAACATCATCGTCATCATGGTCATCATGATCATCATCATTACATATCATTACTATTACCTCCTCATCATCATCATCATCATCACAATATTACCCTCTGGTAAACTAACATAACTAGTGAAAGTCACCATGTTTGGTAAATTAACGAGCTCAATGGCAATTTTTAATAGCAAACTGTTACCAGAGGGTACCAAGCTGGAAATCCAAACGAACCCACCATCCGCCTCTGCGAGCCCTGGCGCAATGCGCGCCCACACGGCTTTCACCACCTGCAGTGAAAGGCCGAGTGGCGAAGTGAAGCAAAGAAGCAAAGAAGATGCAAAGATAGTATCCCAAATTGGTGATTTAATGGGATTTAATGGTGATTGAATGGGATTTCACGGTGATTTTATGGTGATTAAATGGGATGTAAACCCTCCTTTAGACATAGAAAAAGCTGTGGAAAACCAGTGGTTTTCCATTTGGAAAATGATCTTCAAATAGTGGGTTCTCCACATCTTTTTGTATCTCTACAGAAGGATATGATCTTGCACATTGATCACATTGTTTTGTTCTCTCAAGAAAACAGGTGAGCTGCGGAAAAAAGGCTGGCTCGCGATTCTGGCGGTATTTCCGAAGTCAAGTGGCCTCACTAAGAGGGCCTATCAGAGTTCACGAGTTCAGGTCGCTGTTGGTCCAGAACGAAAAGGCCATCAAATCATGGGGAAATCATGATCAACTATGGGATACCCGGCCTGGTAAACTAACAGCTTGCTATTGAAAATGGCCATAGGAATAGTTGATTTACCCACTATAAGTGGTGATTGTCCATAGTTTTTTGTTAACGTTTACCAGAGGGTACTGATTGATATGCTGTTTACAGACAAACTCATGTGGCAGGTTCGATGATTTTCCAACCCAAAGCCTCCCATTTTCAGGATTGCCTGGCCATTCATGCTTGAGGAACGAAGGGTAATGTGCGGTAAATCCAATAATAGACCATCCCCAATTCATTGCCAAACTTAGATACCCTGCAAAAAATTAAATTCTTTGCTGGTGAACGTAGATATTCCCATTAATACCAAAAGACTGAAGGATTAAAGTATCCAGTATCCATCTAAGATTGACCTAGAGCCAAGGCCTATGATATATTGGTTAATTTGGTGCCCCCAAGTGATATTTTAAAAGAACCCATTGACTGTAGTTGCAAGTTACAAGTGTCATAAACCATAGTTATTGAAGTCTTCACCAACTTAGCCATCCTTCGGCACTACATTGTACTCATACTTCTCTTAAATGTGGGGTGTTTTCTGTTGTTGTTGTTGTTTTTTTTGTTTCCGAAAAACCAACTAATCCACATCCACCTACAACAACAAAAAAAGGGGTGTTTGGGGGTGTTTGGGGGTGTTTTCTGTTGGTTTCTAAAGCTCCAAAAATCGGGATGTGCCTCCTGATCGATCCTTGCTTTGCCCATCTCCTTTGCCGCTTCTTCAAAGGTGGGCCGAACCGAGTCAACACGTGCCTGCCACAGGTCCTGAGCAGGAGGATAGCCAGCACAGATCATTTTTTTTGGGTAAACATACATTTTTTCCAACCTGGTTAACATAAAATACCAAAAAACTATGGTGATTCAAAATGGGCATCTAAATTGAGTTTGGATTGTGTTACCCGGCCTGGTAAACATACAAAAAATGGAAAGATCCATCATTTTCAATGGGTAAATCCACTATTTCGACTGGGCCATGTTCAATAGCTATGTAACAAATTACCAGAGGCTCAGATTTTAACTTCGACTTTTCTGAATGGGCCACTGAAAAAAATGGATGGTTTCCCTTCAGAAAACATATGCACCTTGGCCATAAAAGGCCACCAAAATACCAGTGAAAAAAGTGAAATTAACATCTTTCGCCAACTGCCCAGTTTTTCCAACCTGTGGTTCACCAGAAACACCAAGACTGAGCTTCCAGGTGATTTTTTCAGTTTGCTGAGGTGAGCTGAACATTTCACGAGGTGAACTGTTGCTGGTTGGTGGTTTGAATCCCTCTGAAAAATCATGGAGTTCGTCAGTTGGGATGATGAAATTCCCAACTGAATGGAAAAATAAAAAATGGTCCAAACCACCAACCAGGTTGGGTTTTTTCGGTAGAAACCAACAAACATCCCACTGGAAGGTCCCACCTGGCACTGGCTTTCCCCGCGGGTGCATCCCAGGTATCGTCGGTCGCGCAACACTGGATCGTTGCATGGCTGAAGCCATTTTGCAAGTGGGTGACTAACCTATATACAATATACATATATATAATAATTAATATATACATTATATATATAATACAAAATATATATATATATATTATATATATATAATATTATTTATATATATATATTATACATAATATGTTATATATATATATGCAATATAGCTGATAAAATCAATCGAAGGGTTATGGCTGGTCCCTATCCCATCGTGGTCCCAGCCGCGTTCACCAGCGCATGGTGGAAGGACTGCACCCCGATGGCCGGTGCAGCCGCGAAGATCCTTGGATCCGCAGCAGCCAGGAGCCAACAAGCCATACCACCCAGCGACACACCGGTGGCTGCGATGTAGTCCTGGAGAATGCCATGAATTTCCGGCAAATTCGTGGGGATTTTTTGGGATTCATGGGCTGAGGCGATTTTTGGTTTATGAGTGGTGAAAATCATAGGAATCATGGAGTGGTGGGTGAAATAACTGAACATTGCCCTTATATTTGGGGTTACCCACCACGATTCCTGGAACCACCAAGTAGTTTTTTGAGGAACACCTGTGGAGAAACCTCCTTTAATGAATCTAATGGACATGTGTAATGGTTTTAAATATATATATATATAATTGTATATATAGACGCTTACCCCCGGCTTGTTCAAAACATTGATTGAAGGATTTGTTGCAGGAAAACTCAGCCAATTTTGTTGGTAACGCCTGGTTTCACCCGTAGATTTCCCCAACTAATAGATCCATTGAAAGATGGACAGTTTCACATATATATATATATACATAGACGCGCATGTAACATACACATATGTATATTCATATTTATATATAGTAATTATAGCGATACTCTATTTAATACTGACTTGGACAAGCAGGTTCTATCACCCCAGGAATCGGGCGGCCAAGTAGGGTAAACTTCAAGCCTATCATCTCTGCCGAAAAATGCCCGAAGAGCCACCAGGATGGCCGTCGGCGATGATCTTTTCACTTATTTTCTCCATACGTTCCAGGTATTTTCAGGTATTTTCTATGGATGACTTTGCTTATAGATGTTTTAATGGATTTTAATGGATCATGCCATCGTTCATTGGCAAAGGTTGGCTCCTGCAACACGTCGGGTCTCATGGACAGGTAATCCACAACCCACAGGGCATCTCGAGCTATGTCCATCACAAATCGCTCGCTGCCATCATGCCATCCTCGCATCCCGTTTTTGGATGTGGAAGAAAAAACGGGCCTCTGGGGGCTTCGGGCTTGGAAAATCTACCTTCAAGCTTCGTCTCATATGGTTAGGATTCTTTTAGTATATAGTTCCATGTGAATATGGATAACTATAGTCGTATAGTTCCTCAGTTCCCTCTTTAGCCCTGGATAGCCATGTTGGCCATCAACACTTTCGCCAAACATATTTTCAGAAAGCCCGACCAAAAGGGCCATTCGGCCATTCTTATAGCCAAAAAAAACTGGGCTACCCGGGCTACCCCAAATTTCGCAATAATTAGTGAACCCCATGCTACGGATTTTACGCAATGGTGAACCCATGTTCTTTCTTTTTTCACTGCCATTTTCATGGAGGGTCCCCATTTTTCACAAGTGCAGCAACTCATCGGCAGTTCCTCGTATCAAAGCATCAAAGTAGATCTTCAGCCGAGAGGATTCGCTGCTGCTGATCTCTTTCACTTGCGAAGGACCCAAAGCACTCAGCGTCAGATCCTTCCTGGTCGCAGATTTTTTTTTAGAGTGGCAGGCTGTGGGAGTGCGCTGTTTCAAACGTTTTGATCATCACACACATATTCAAAGATGATTGAATGCATTGAAAAAAAGGGAGGGGGTGTTGTGAGCGCCAATTTTTCTGCATTTTTGACATGTCATTTCTGCAAAAGATACCAAACCCTGTTCTTTCCAAAACCAAACATTGTTGCTTCTGTAACAAACAAAAGCAACCACTGTGCATTCTCAACAGCTCTCCCAATGTCCTACATAGATACATAGTTTTAGCCAAAACAAACATGAGCACTAAATAAAAACAACAAAACAAACAAGTGCAAATGCCTTTTCAAAGAGTGCAGCATTGCTTTAAAAATGTATAGGCTCTACACCTCTACAGGAGTTTCCCTCAACATATCCAATAGTTCTTTTGAACATGTGCATTTTAAACAGGCACCAATTTATGCAATATGTTCTCTATTTAAAAAATGAAGGAAAATAAACATGCACACGTCACTTGTAAAATGACTTTGCATAAAGAACACAATTCCTCCATGTATGCAACAACCTTTTGCAAACATTGTTGCGTTCTTTAAAAGATGTGTAGCATGACTTCCCAATTTCAAGGAGAACCCTCCTATGTATGTACTGAATGATTTCAGAAATCATAGCATTCCTGTACGAAAATGTAGTATGCTGTTTTGCAAGATTTAATCTATTCTTGAATTACTACCGCATGGTTTTGAAAAGAGTGCCATCTTGCTGACACATTGATTGAAACATGTGTTTTACCTTTGAAAGTGCAGATTCTTGCTTGCAAAGTGTGTAACATTATGGTAAGGAAGTGTAGCAAGAGCCTACTGTAGATTCCATTGATGATGCAAAAGCCTGGTTAAAAATATGTTTTTTGTTGTAAAGCAAGTATTGCACCACCTTCTGCAATATTGCCTTTTAAAGAGTACAACTGTTCTATGGAAATGTGGTTTTGTTTTGAACAGGGTGCTATGTGACTCGACTTTCAAAAGGCCTTCAAAATGTGCAATATCTTATCAAAGTAGAATATGGCTTCAAACAATGCAAAACAAAATGTAATTATAAATCACAAATCTTAATGCAAATTTATTCAAACATGATTATGGTAATGTAAACAAGTGCTACATGCCTATGCGAAGAGTGCAATAGCACAATTACCTACAATATCTCTTTCAAACTAGTGCAGCATTTGCTCGAAAAAAATGTCATATTACTGCAAACTGTGCAAAATCTGCGTCAATCAAGGAAAGCCTTTCTTTGAAGATGCACATATGTATGTGTATATATATATTGTTTTCTCCCCAAGGTTTTTACCAAGTGTGGAGTATTTCAAGGAAACTGGCATGAATCACGGGCAAAGCTGTCAAAGTGCCTTTGGGAGTGCAGTAAAACATCTCAAAATATCATCAGTGAAACTCCCAGGGGCTGCCGTTCTTTTTTTGGAACCCTGGTCTTTTTTGGGTTATCCAGATATCACAATGGAAACGCATGATGAACATCTACAAATATCATCAAATCTTGCAGTAACTCCAAATAATTTTGGCGATCCCATGGATAAATCACAGGCAAACTGGCCGTTTCGTATCGCCATGGTGGCGTCTCCTTCCCTCCTCCTCCTGTTCTTCATCTTCATTCTTCATTTTCATCGTCGTCATCGTCACGGTCACCATCAGTACTGTCACTATGATCTTTGCTATCAATTGATCATCATTTTCCTTGTTAAAACTGCTATTTGGGGAATACTTACTGGTGCTAAACGTAGGGTATGGATGGGTTGCTGGGGGTTGCTGGGATGACTATTGATAGTTATTGTGGATCATTCCCTCATTCCCTGCTAAGCACCAGTAAGAATATCACCAAGAAAAAAATCAGACCAAACCCATCCTGCACCGTTGGTCCATTGGGGGTGCATCTCAGGCATCGGAAGTGAAAAAAATCCACCAATTGCTTTAGTGGCGCCCGTAACCATGGTTACACATGGGTTAAATCTATTTATATATATATAGCTATATGTATATATATAGCTGTATATATATACAAATATATATATATATATAGTTATATATATATGTATATATATATAGTTATATATATGTGTATATAGCTGTATATATATATATATATAAATATATCTATATATAGTTATATATATATAGTTATATATATATAGAAAGAGAGGGAATAAACCACAAATCCTTATCTGGGTCCCTCCATTTTTTTTATATGTTGGAATCCATGGAGGATCATCTGTTAAAAACACCCCCTGGATGGGTATCCCCCTTTTTTTCCCACAGAAAAAAAAAACAAAAACACATATTCCAAGTCATATACCAATTATATCGCTATCATTTCACCATTAGAAATACTCAAATCCCATGTTTTTGGATAAATACGTTGCTAGTTCCAATGGTCTTTGGCTATATCTCCATGAATTCCACTTGGATGCGCCTCCCACTTAGTGCTTGCCATGAATCTAACTGGGGAACCCCATGTAGGGTCCTAAAATAGGGATACCCCCAAATCATCCATTCTACCCGGATTTTCTCTATGAAGCATTGGTTTTGGATACCCTCTGGTAAACTGACATAGCTATGGAAAATCACCATTTTACTAGCAAATCAACTATAAATGGCCATGTTCAATAGCTATGTTAGTTTACCGGAGGGTAGTTTTCCCCCATGTATAACTGGGGCTATTAACATCTATTAACCATCCAGAATGCCCAAACGCATATCAAGCATCAAGCCCGCCAAAGGCGTGGCCCGCTCGCCGTGCCAGGGCGCATCAAAGGCGATGGCCAGAAAGCCCTTCCTGCGGAGCTCACGATGATTTCATGCTGAAGAATAGGTGATATATAGATTAAATCGATTTAGTTAGATTTATATAGATTATCTAGTAATAAGATAGTTCCATTATACAATCATATATATATATATGGCATTAACTATGCTGGTTGGTTTTTAACCATCTTGAAAAATATTAGTCAATGAGAAGGATTATCCCATAAATTATGGAAAAGAAAAAATGTCTGAAACCACCAGCCAGTGATTTTTCATGAAAAAGCGAACAACTAGACGACGGATGGCCCGAGAGCGTAGAGGAGCAATTTCTTCGAGCGTTAATATCAAGACAATATATTACAAGACGATATATTGAAGAAGCATCATAGGCAAACAAGAAGAAGAGTATCAAGACAATATGTTATTAGACAACATATAAAAAATGTATGAAATTCTTGTGAAAGAAAAGGATAACATATCAAGAAAAATGCTTCTAGGACTGAAACCGAAGAAGAAAAGGTATATAAAGAGTTCTACATCACACATTTTTTACACGCAGGTACTTTACATCCTTACAGAAGCTTTTACACACAGACGCTTTTACACACTGACCCATTTAGACAATTTAGACACAGACGCTTTTATACACAGACGCTTTTACGCACAGACGCTTTTACACACAAGTTCCTTTACACACAGACGCGTTTACACACAAACGCTTTTACACACACAGACGCTTTTACACACAGAGGCTTTTTACACACCAACGCATTTGCACACAGACACTTTTACACGCCAACACTTTTACACACAGACGCTTTTACACACAAGTTCCTTTACACACAGACGCTTTTACACACAAACGCTTTTAGACACAACAGCACTTTTACACAAAGACGCTTTCACACACATACGTTTTTACACACCAACACTTTTACACAACAACCCTTTTCCACACAAGCGCTTCGACACACAGACGCTTTTACACACACAGATGCGTTTACACGCCAACACTTTTACACACAAACGCTTTTACACACCAACACTTTTACACACCAACACTTTTATGCACAGCCGCTTTTACCCACACACACACAGAGAAGCTTTTACACACAGACGCTTTTACACACACAGAGGCTTTCACACACACAGACGCTTTTACACACACAGAGGCTTTTACACACCAACACTTTTACACACACAGACGCTTTTCTACACAGCCGCTTTCACACACACACAAACGCTTTTCAGCACACGGACGGTTTTGCACACGCAGACGCTTTTACACACAGACGCTTTTACACACGGACGCTTTTACACACAGACGCTTTTACACAACCATTTTTGCACACACCTCAAAATCACAAGTTTCCCTCTGTTTATGACGATCGACCCTCATTTCGTGCGAAAGCGTTGCGCGGAACCCTCAAAATCGCAATTTTACCCCAGTATTTTGACGCTCGACCCTCATTTCATGCAAAAAGGTTGCGCCGGGCCCATCAAAATCGCAATTTACCCCAGTTTTTGACGCTCGACCCTCATTTCGTGCGAAAAGATTGCGCCACACCCATCAAAAACACAATTTTACCTTAGTTTTTGACGCTCGATCCTCATTTTGACCGCCCCCGCCTTAAGAGAGAAGGGTAATTAGCAGACGAGACGAGGGAGAGAGAGGGAGGGAGGGAGAGAGAGAGAGAGAGAGAGAGAGAAGAGAGAGAAGAGAGAGAAGAGAGAGAAGAGAGAGAAGAGAGAGAAGAGATTGCTTTTGCAAGTCGGCCAAAGAAAGGTATACAGGTGGTCGAGCAAAGAATACTCTCTGTGAGAGGGTCTGGATGCCCACCTCAAGTGTCTCAAACATATGATAACAGTTAAGCTTGGCATATTGCGCCGCTGCGAACTCGTGCAAGTTCTCTTTCAGATACCACCCACGGAGAAGACTATAGTCCGTGGGCCAGTTCGGAGGGCAGACCGTAGCGTCTTGCCGCCATTTTTCAGGCGTAATGCCTCCTGCGCTTGGTGTAATGACCTCCAAGACAACACGGGTAGGGCCTACTGGGGTGAAAGCGGGCATCACGTCTTGGTGTACCAAGTGGCTATCTATTGTACCCCTCTATGATGGTACGCAGACAGCCTCGATCATCCCACTCTTGGTCAATCCCAAGCTCAGACCCTGCTGCCCGATTGTCAGCGAACCGGACGGCAACGAGGCTGCCCTCAACTTGCTCTTGACTATCTTCCTCGATCTTCTGCGCGCTCTGGATGCTCTGGATGATAGTTTGAGAGACTTCTTGGGGCTGACCTTCGGCACGGTTGCCGTCGGCAGAGAGAAGAGAGAGAAGAGAGAGAGAAGAGAGACAAGAGAGACAAGAGAGACAAGAGAAGAGGACAAGAGAAGATAAGAGAAGAGAATTGAAGAGAGAGAGAGAGAAGAGAGAGAGAAGATGTAATATGTAAGATGTGAAGATGTAATGACAACGTATTATCTCAGCTTCTTTTTTGGAAGAACCCTACGCTCAGGGCTCTCGGGAAAAATACGGTGATTTAATGGGAATATATTGGGAATATGATGGGAACAATGATAATGAGATGACAATGGGATTGTTCTAGTTAGGTTTTGAACGCTTCTAGTTCTCATAGTGTTGGTTACATTCCTATTTTATTCCTCTTATATCTTATTATAATTATTATATCCTATTCTTGGGTGATATCCCCAGTTATATCTCATATTACCATTTGGCTGATTCATGATGAATCCGGGGGTTATACTACCCTTTATCTACTGGGGATTATCATAATCCATGAACTGGGAATCCCGCTCTTAACCAAAAAGGACTAAATGGAAGAGGGCTTTGAACACAGTTCAGGCGCAGGTGAAAGATTTGGGATATATATATATATATATACATATATACATATATATAATCAACATGGGGATTTAGTTCGCTGATTTATGGCTGTGCAGTTGATGGGTTACAATTAATGGATATTGATGAAGATATCATGGGATAGTATCAATGAATATTAACGGGATATATAATGATATATATATATATATAATATATATATATCTATCTAACAGCTATTCATATGATATGGATGTGAGACCGGATGGGAGGGAAGCCGATGTCATTGATCAACGATTTTGGATTTGGTGGCAACGCATTTTCAGACAAACCCATATTTTATTTGTTGTATCATTTCGCACTGATATCTTAAGAATAAAGTGGTGCCCCCCACATCTAACCATAGATATATCCATTCTAGGCAGCTAGCTGTAAATCTCTCCAGCTATTCGGCTACTCCATAGTGGCCAAAAATCGTGAATGAGCGTCGAATCTACAGCAACCCCCTTTTGGGGATCCGGGATGCGGTGAAATCAACCGATTTCAAGTTCCAAAAGATGGGCCATGAAATCAACTACTGTACTCAAATTAAGTAGTAACATGGTCAATCTTTGGTAGTTCACCCAATTTGTTCATCTTTTGCTGGTTATGGTTATTATATGTTATTGTCCATTTATACCAAAAAACAAAAGGATTAAATTACCCATTTAAGGTTGGGATTGGTAAATTGAATCTGTTGCTGCATCTTTTTGGGGGTCACTATCTCAGAGCTTTTTTGGGGACTTGATTTTGATATTTTTGATGGCTTATAGACTGATACATCTGATACCTCTGGATGATGATTCACCAATCTGACACATTGGGCATGCGGCAGTTGTCTGTGGATGACCCTACCAACCAATCATCCTTCACGACGTGACGTCGCGACGTGATAATCCCTGTGATCTGAAAATTCTACCACCATTGATACCCTCTGGTAATGACTAACATAGCTATGGCAAATCACCATTTTATAGCTGGGTATATAAATCCACTATTTCTATGGCCATTTTCAATAGCTTTTTGTATGTTTACCAGAGGGTAAGATTCACCATGTGAATCCCGCTTCTTAAAAATCACCGGCTGAATCGCTTGTCATATCACCAGGATGTGAATCCCAGGACAAAATCACAGACAAAATCGCAGCCACGGCCACAGTCACCATTTCCCTGTGTCCTGGCCCATCTTTCCATTGCTTCGGCCATGAACTCCTGGGGTTTGTGGCCATTTTGTGGCCATGATTTACTGAAGACTGGAGCAGCCCATGGTTTTTACCTGGGGTGAAGCAACATAGATGTGGACAACCCATGGTTTTCCATTTGGAAAATGGTCGCGAAATGGCGGAGTTTCCAGTTTCCACATCTCTTTTGCATGTTTACAGAAGGGTAGTCACCATTTTCCATCTGAACGTGGCCTTCTAACACGCCGATTTACTCATTTTTCTAGATGTTTTTGTGGGTTGAGTCCAAGTCCACCGAAGACCATCCCACTTAGTGATGTTTTGACGGCTTTTTTTCACGACCCAGTTGCCCTCCATGGGCCATGTCGGACATGTCGTGAGCCCGTCCTTGGATTTGCCAGTCGGATGCATCACCAAAATGGCCGCAGTTCTCGTGCACTCCGTTGGACGTGCCACCAGCAAGTTGAAAGCACCTGTCAGTGGGCCGATGACCTCATCGTTCCACAAGAACTGTGCCATTTGGAGGTACCCTCTGGTTAACGCCATGGAAAATGGCCCATTTAGAAATGTTGTTTGATGATTTACCTATAACGGGTGATTCTCCATAGCTAAAATAACCAGAGGGTAAAATCCCACAGTTGTCAGACAGGCATGGGACCCCAACAACGAAACGCTTGTCGTTTTAAAACTCGGGATGGACTCCGACAGGTGTTGCTCTCTGCATCAAATCCATGCAGATTTTACCCGCGAGTTATGTTGGTTTTCCATGGTTTTTCCACGGTTTTTCCATGGGTTTTCCATTGAAATTCGCATTCCAGGCCACGCAGAAATTTCTGGATCTTCATCCAGCCACATCAGGGCAAGGCGCCATGCATATGACTGTGGATCTTCCGTAGATACATCTTCAATGGCTGTTTATATGGCAGTGTGTCAAAACCTTGTACCCCTGGTGAACATCAAAATAGCTGGTAAATGGATGTTCATCCCCCTAAAAATGGTATTAATAGGTATTGACCCATACCCATATGGTTGCTAAACACGTTTGTTATAAAAATTATATTCATTCCCACTCCCAGTTTTTATTCATGGCTAAGCCATCCCAGCTTTTTGTCATGTAAAAAAATCACCAGACATTGGATGGTGAACTGGGTCCGGACCCATGGGGCACGTCTAACGGTTTGCCATGGAAAGATCCACCATTTTTGAGAACGGTAAACCATCTATAAATGGGCCATCAATACCATGGCTATGTTAAATAACCAGATGGTAAATTACTTGGTTGATAGATTTCTCTATGGGTTATAATGATCCCCAATAACCCAGGTAGTATAATTCCCTATTTCATAACCAATTAATCAGCATGTATCAATGATTCCCATTATTCCGATTATAGTCCCGTTGTATTCCCATTATATTCTCATATCTATGGTATGTTTCATGGGAATACCATTGTATTACTATTATATAAAAACCAGTATATTACCATCTTCATTCCCATATCTATAATCTTGTCCCTTGCTTATAAAATATCTTACCATGAAAATAACCCTTATATTACAGTGTCACACATATTATATATATTATATAATATATATAATATATATAATATATATAATATATAATATATAAATATAACATATATATATAATATAATATATATATACATTACCATGATATTCCCATGAACATATAACCACTCAACCAATTAAAAAATAGCTCAACCAAGGTGTCACACCGAGCGCCTCCATCATGGCACAGGCGCAGTTTCTCCCACAAGACCGCATCACCTACGCCACCATTGCGGCGGTCATAAGTTGCGCCAATTTAAATGACATACCCTCTGGTAATTTAACATAACTATGGAAAATCACCATTTTCAATGGGAAAATCCACTATAAAGGGTGATTTTCAATAGCTATGTTAGTTTACCAGAGGGTATACATTTCTGTACATAGAATAAGTTTATTATATATATATATACACAACAAGATAATCCTGTAGAACATATATAGATACACAATATGTTGGGTGCCAAATTTTTGCCCACATGTTAATGACGCAGCACCTTCAACATCACGGTAAACCTCACCTCCACTGTGAATGCCTCAGGAGCCGTTTCTGCTGACCTGGATTCTAATACACACACTATGAACCACACAGGTAATTGGATATATGTAGATATCCATTATATTTATATATATGTTATAATATATATATATAAATATATGGTACCCCCCCAAGACCTACATTTCAAGCAAATTTAGTGGTATTTACAGTGTTTTTCTTAACATTTTGGACTCTACAATTTAAGGCATTTTCTGGTGATCAAAAATTGCATTTTTTTGCAAGTCTTGTGGGAATCTTGGATCTTGGATTTTGCAAAGAATGCATTCAGAATGCATTCTTCCCCAAATCTAAGGGGGTAGGATTTAAGATTCAAGATTCAAGGCTCAGAAAAAACTTCTTGAATCCAAGGAGGTAGGATTCAAGATTCAAGATTCCAAAAAATAATTCTTGAATCCAAGGGGGTAGGATTCAAGATTCAAGATTCAAGGCTCAGAAAAAACTTCTTCAATCCCACCCCCTTGGATTCAAGAATTCTTTTTTGGGATCTTGAATCTTGAATTTTGGCCCTTTTGCACAAGACTTCTCCGCAACTCTTGGATCTTGGATCTTAGATTTGGGGAAGAATACATTCTGCATGCATTCTTTGCAAAATCCAAGATCCAAGATTCCCACAAGACTCCTGATCAAAATCTTGGATTCTCTTTAAACAAAACATGGTCGCAATTTATGTTTAGAAAAAAAAAAGGGTAATAGACTATAAAAACTCTGAAATGCTATCAAAGTTCACATCACAAAATGGTAGAATATTCTCATGAAAATATACAAACAATTCAATCTGAAAAAACATATCCAAGATAAAAAAATAATTTGATTAACTTAAAACTAGATCCTCAGAATATAGAGCTAAAAAAACAATAAAAATATAGGATCTTTCAAAGTAAAAATGCATATTCACCCAATGCTAGAAACTCTTATAATACCTATAAAAATGTCACAAAATTAAGAACTATAAAAAAAAGGTAAGACAATTTACAATATGACGCATATATTAAAACTGATCTAGATATCGTTTACTTATTAATTTATTATCATCAAAATCATTTATGTTTAAAAGATAATATATCTAACTCAAGCACTCCTGGATTTAAAGCAATGAAATTACAAGATCATCTACATTATATAGATTTTAAAATGAATCATAACAGCAAAAAAGCAAATCTTCTACAGAAAAAATGGTAGATGCTGAGGAAAACGCTAATGGAAATAACGTAGGTTCACAAGAACAACAAAAACAACTAACATCAAATGAGAATATGACTGATTATTGCCAATTTACTATGCAAAGCTTGATGGAACGTTATGAAATTGTAGGAGGATTAAAAATGTAATTGCATTATACAGATGTAAAATCTCAAGATGCACTAACTATATCACCTAATCTAATCTTGCACAAATCTCAGCTTTGGTAGAAGCTTCAAGGTTTCAAATTGCTGCAGAAAATTTAGTAAACATGAATTCCACCAGTAGTCATTATAAACAACTACCTTACAAAAAGTTGTATTTATCAAAAAAACAAAAAAATATTCTATACTCTGCTGTAAAAACAGATAACAAAGTTTCAATCCATCTATTCCCCTAATCATATTGCTGCAAATCCTAAAGGTTATGTAAAAATACCAAATGTTGTGGAAGATATTGAAAAAGCAGACTTGCAATAATCAGATCATAGATATAAAAGTTGTCTTGATATATTAAAAATGTCTGTAAACATTAAACAAAAAAGAAAACATTAAATGCTACATATGTCAAATATAGATGTTACAGCGCTATGCTGCAGCTACATGTGGGCAGGATGTGTCCAGCTACAATAGGTGATAATATAAGAAGGAAAACAAGGCATTCAGGAACATATCTGCTACACAAAAGGTAGGTCTTGGGGGGGGTTGCATATATATATATATATATGTATGCATGTATCATTATATGTAATGTATCATTATGTGTAGTATGTATCATTATATGTAGTATGTATCATTATATGTATGTATCATTATAATATTTATAATATAATATTATATATATATATTGATGTGTTTAAACGTAAAGAACCAATGCTGCCAATAGATTGAGATACGCTCAAAGCATCATCCACCTGCGCGGAAGAGACCGCCGGCCACTCGAGCCTCAACGATCCTGGCGCTGGATCACATGGGGTTTTTTCCGAGTCGTCAAGGAGGGTTTTTTTTTTTGATGGGCAGATCATAGGAAGAGATGGGATAAAAGTATATAAAAGTGGGAAAATCCATGGAAAATCCCTTGTAAATGACATCTGAATGGGAAAAATCGTCGAAGTCTTGGTGGATTCTCCATGATTTTCCAGCCATGGAGGGCTTCAACTGGGCTGAAACACGTCCGGCCGACCGCACGTCCGGTGAAGTGATGGGTTCCTGAGCATCGATGCTTTGTCGAAAGGATTGAAATCATGGAAGTAGCTTATTTGAATGTGTCTCCCAGTTGTATTTCATAACCATGACTAGAAGCTGTAAGAAACTTATATATACATATATATATATATATATACACATTGAAAATTCCCCAAACATGTGGGTTGCTAATCAGTTTCTAAGCGAGATGTGCACATCTCCGTGTTCGTTGGGTCGATTTCCCAAATTCTGTTGGTTATATGCATATATATATATATAAATATAAATCCCCATTCTCAAGTGGCTCAATATGGGTTTGGCTGAAAATAGGGCACCTCAAATAATTGGTCCGTTGAAACCTCTTTTTCTTACGTGTCCCTATTGAAACAGCAATCTTGTGGTTGGTTAATTTGCCATTTTCAGGTGCAAAAACATAAAGTGGTGCCATTTTCAGGTTATGTTTGTTAGTTTGTAGCCTCCATCAACCAAACAGTTATTGGACTGCTGTTTACCAACTTAGCCAATATCAGTCAACTATAAATCTATAAATCAATCCCATATAAATCATATAAATCCCATTAAATCCTTACACTTTGCTTGGTTAAAACACAAGTTTCCCATATGTTTCCTATGGTTTCCTATGTTTTTCATCCATGCACAAGGGCAAGCCACCGGCCTTCCTCAAGGCCGCACGCAAAGCTTGTCGTCGCTGCTCCAAGCCATCCATGGCACCGCAACGCAACTTGCTTCGCTTGCTTCGTCGGTTCGTCGGTTCGTCGGATCAATGGAACCGTGTTCAAAATCCCTCTGTCATTATCCTGGTTGGTTTATGAACATAATGATTGTTGTAATTGGATATGATATAAATTATATCAATCTAACAGATTATAAATTGGATTATAATGATAGAGAGATTGGTAATAGCTGATTATAAACATTATAATGGACATTATATAATCCAATGAACATATAGTATAATGGATTATAAATTGGATTGTTGTAATCCCCAATATTGGATAAGGTGATAGGGATTGGTAGTAGCTGATTGTTGGTTTAGAACGGGATTCCCCGTTCTTGGATTGTTGTAATCCCCAATATATAAAGGGTAGTATAGTCCCGAAACTAATCATCAACCAACAGGGGTTTTACTGCAATTCTCCAAGTTTCAGGGAGTCACTCCCAATCATGTGGGTAGGGTGTCCAATTTACTCAACTCTCAAAAGGTAGATGGTGTTGAAGTAACCACCAAAAAAGAATGAAAAAGATACAGTAGTATAGTGATTTACCTACCACTGTCTTAGGAGGATTTGACTTTTCTGTCTTTTCGGGGGTGGCTATATACCATGCCAAAACTGACCTTTTTATGTTGGATCCCGGTGCACCAAGAGCCGAGCCAAAGTGCAGCATTCCGGACGCTGACCAAGTGGAGGTCCCAAGAAACGCACCAATTTTTGGTCGATTTTGTTCATTGACACAAGAATATACTGGTGGTTGGTGGTTAATATGGGAAAATGATGGGTTTAACAATGGTTAATGATGGTTAATAGTGGGTTATCTGGTGGATTATATTATATGTATGTATATATATATGGTTGGTGGTGCAATAACCATATTGAAAAATATGAGTTCGTCAATGGGAAGGATGACATCCCATATATGAAATGGAAAAAATTGTGTTGTAAAATATAGTAATTATCACCTATATATATATATACACCCCTCCTTCACATGTGATGCTTTAGATGATTTGGAAAGAAAAATAAGCTGCTTGTTTGCAGGGCAAACAGGGTGATGGTCAGTTGCTACGTTCGCAGAAAGAGCCTTCAATCTAGCTGTAAGCCCTTCAAAATTCGAATGGGTGTTGGTTTTCCAATAACTGAGATGGTAATGAGCAGTTCCCCGTGACTTAGGAAACCCCTAAAATGTATGAAACAGTGCTCCTTTTCAAAAGTGGTCATCACGGCCATCTTGTTGCCAAGAAGTTTCGATGGAGAATCGGGCCAACAATGAATTGGACAAATCGATTATAATTGTTGGCAATTCAATGGTTATAATTATACACATGATTATAGAAGTAGAATCATATATCATATAATGTAATTAAACAAAAATGATCAAGACCATCCAATCACCAAACTTTGTATAGCCACAAATGCAAACGTTTCCACAAGCATGGCATCTCTCAGGCTGGTGCGAACGATGGCGATTGTTTTTGGCCGTGTTCCTGCGAACACCTGTAAATGGGTGAGACAGCGGTGGAGTTTCCACTTCTCCAACTGGAAACCAAAAGCTCCACGTCGACTTTGTTTCAGCGCAGTATCCCGCTCTTGGTGACTTTCGCCATGAACCCCATGAGATTTTTGTTGTGTAAACCCCAAAAAAAGATTCATGAAAAGCTTCAATTTATATCATTTATATTCATTTATCATCATTTACCATTCTTTTTAATTACCCTCTGGTAAATTCACATAGACCCTGGCAGTTGTCGGGGTTGGAAGATTAGTTTCCATTAAAACTAGGCTATTTTCAGGGTCCAACTGTTAATTTACCAGAGGGTAACTCCAATTTTACCAGCTTCTGCATCTAGGGAATGGCATCACCATCATCATCGACTCGGCTCAGTCGAGGCTATCGGCTGGTCCTGCACCAGAAATGGCGATGCTGCTTGGTGCCCCCGTTGGGTTTCCTGGTTGAAAAAAAAACCATCAACCCCTCTGGTAAACATACAAAAAGCTATGGAAAATCACCATTTTTAATGAGTAAATCAAGTATTTCTATGACCATTTTCCATAGCAAACTGTAACAAATTACCAGAGGGTACAGATATATCTGCCAGTTTAACGGCACCACTGAGGCCCTGAGAGAAGCACCTGAGTTCCGAGATGATCCAAAGGCCGTTGCGAAGGCCGCCAGCATCCGAGCCTGGGCAGACGCATCGGCTTCTGGGGATTTCAGCAACAAAAATGGAGAATGTGATCCATGAAATCCATGGTGGTTCAAAAAAAAACAGAAAATAATCAGGATTTATAAGCAATAGCTACAATATAACTACATTTTTTCAACCATATATGTATATTGTAATAAGCAATAACTACATATAACTACAATAATTCTTCGGTTTATGGTTGCAAACCAAATGGTGGAACTGGTGGGCGCTTATACATACAGTAAACATGTGCAGCCCCCGAACTCAAAGGGACATCCAGTGTCAAAAAAGCTCAGGGCTCAATCTGCGCTTGCACAAACTGTACATAGTAAGACAGGCTCATTATGTTTTTTCGTCAATTGCCTCATCTCGTTCGATTTTGTTCCAAGTATATACACCTGTGTGATCCTGTGTGCGTATCTGTCAATCTGTCTACCTTACTCTAGTTTATCCAGTTATAAATGGGATAAGTAGGGTTAATCCACTTATAACTGGGGTTATAACCCACTTACTAAGTGGGATGAGCCACCAAGTAGTTTATACCAATGCACCGATCGATCTACTTCTTGCGTATCTGAATGGCCTGCTGAGATACTGAGATACGGGCGTCTCCTGAAAACCAATCGAATGCTTAGAGGGTCGCTTAGCCCCCCAATTCTCACGTTGGATTATAATTTATAACCCGAACTAGTTCGATACATACTAGTAGATACTAGTATTATATTTTATGCACACAATTATGATGATTGTTCATGATTATTCTTGTTGCAGCTGTTGATGTAATTGTTGTTATTCTTGTTGATCATTATTTGCTATTACAGTATTGTCATGTATCCAGATAAACACACAACTGCTAACCCATGTGAAATCTTCATCAGTTTTCGCGAAGAGTTCCGGGCACATTGTTCCTGAGCATCAGAGAGGCCTGCAGTCGCGTGCTGCAGCATTGCTGCAACGGTTTAAGCTGTTGGCAATGGAAAATCATCACCCAAAATTCATGTTTGTTCCATGTTTTTTCCCATGAGGATCATGAGGTTTTCAGGCATTTTCACTGATACCCTCTGGTAAACTAACATAGCTATGGAAAGATCCACCATTAAATGGGAATTTCCATTATAAATGGCCATTTTCAATAGCAAACTGTTGACATAACCAGAGGGTAAATCTCGTGCCACAAAAACGCGCTCGAAAAACCACCACTCGGCAACTCCCGGATCCACCTGCGGGCCCCGGCTCCGAGAAACATCATGGGTCGTCCCAGGATGGTAATACGATCGCTAGATGACCATCCCCAAAGATGGGCAATTGGCAGTGTGTCAAAACCTTGTACCCCTGGTGAACATCAAAATAACTGGTAAATGGATGTTCATTCCCCTAAAAATGGTATTAATAGGTATTGATCCATACCCAATTCACCATAGTCTCCACAAGTTTTGACCATAAAAATCCATGAAACACATGAAACCAGCTGCACAAACAGATAGAAATTCTGCTGTTCGATTGAAAACATGGCTGAAATCTCACAAACCACCTCCAGCACGAGGGGTATCATCATTCCAGCCTCAAATGAATGGCGGGATGGAGAGCTTAGTATGGTGAAGTCACAATTTGAAGTGGAACATTCCTGTATGAGGCCACAAAAATCTAACATCCCTGTGGGAAAATTGGCCATTTAGTTCGATGATTTACCTCAAAAATTTGGATGTTTCGCAGATATGTCAAATTACCAGACGGTGGCATTCACTCGGTCGAAAGATTTCTTGATTGGGGATCCGGGGTCATGATCCCATGTGTGGATGCAATATTTTCAAAAAACGCCAAGCAACTTCATGAATGGTGATATAGCCATTGTATACTCTCTGGTAATTTAACATAGCTATTGAAAATGGTCATTTATAGTGAGTTTTCCCATTAAAAATGGTGATTTCCATAGCTATGTTAGTTTACCAGAGGGTACCTATTCTATAGCCAATATATCCCCATATATCCCCACAGATTTTTCCGGCCAACCTTCGGCCGTCGGTGCCCTGGGGACCGCTACCGTTGCCGGCTGTTTGCTGTTTAGGCCTTATAAAGGTCACGGCGAAAAACACACGGAAGATGTGGCGGGGCCAGTTTGGATCGTTTCAAAAGATCACTTAAATGTATAATGTTAGTTATATATATATATGGTGATATGGTGAACATTTAACTATCACTTTATGAACTGTTAAACATTGTATCAATAAATATATAGTCCATGATCGCTTGAGGTTGTAATTGTTTGGTCATCCAAAGGTCCAAAGGTGTCCTCACAACCGTCCTCACAGCGCTTGCGCACCGCGCACCCAGCCTGGGATTTCCAAGAACATCCCAGATGTGGTCCATGCCTCGAATCTGTCTGCTGTGTTGGGGGTCAAAAATCATATACATGTATGTGTCTTTATGATCATGTGTATATCTATATGTAGGCTCAAGGCTGGGGGTTCCCCGGAGCTTCGAGGAACCCTCAGTCTTGATGCTATACCAGAAAGGTCGTTCTTGTATACAGATGGGGGGGGGGGGGGTGGGGGGGTGTAATAACGTCATGTGAAGTGCGTTGGATGATGTTGAATCCTGGAAGATGTTGCTTGGTGGGGTGGGGGGGGGTGGGGTGGGGTGTAATAAACGTCAGTTGAAGTGCGTTTGGATGGTAAAACGTCCATTATCACATGTTCTACTTCTGAACAGAACGACCAAAATAAAAGAAACCGCACTTCAAATGGTTAGCATGTTCCACACATCTTTAGTCATCCATGGGAGATGTAAAATTTTCCTGTTTCAGCACGGACAAACGTCAAGTTCTTCCGCGATCAAAATGGAA